AAAAAAAAAACATAACCAGAACCCTGAAAAATGTATGAACATACTGTTTCTGCCTAATACACGACCAATATATATTTTTAAAGTCTTAACATGAAATTCTCTCACCTCCAAAAAAGGCCACAAAGTGCATTCACACAAAGTCAGTCTTAAGATAAACCCATTGTACAAAATATGAAGTTAAGGTATACTGAAATGAATAACACACTGGAGTTTAATTGTAGAAGTGTCATACACCAGGAGAGCAATATCCATAGGCAAAGTCTCCTAACAGTATTACAGCAAACATCTTTATAAGGGTCATACATATGATACATTTAAAGTATTAAAAGGTATAGATGACTCAACAGTAAAATTAAAAAACTATATCCTATTAGCACATTTAACCCAAATGAACCTGAATCTATGATATACCATTCAAGGAAACTAGGTCAGAATAAATTTATCAAAATCACCTTGTTCATTTACAAAAGTCAATTAAAAACACTGCCTGCTGAATCAGACAGCAGAAAGCCCCTCTTCTATAGTATTTATTTTGTCCCAGATATTAGTATCACCTTCAAAAAAATTTTAAGGGTCAAACTGAAAATTACCATTTTCTCTACCAAATAAGTGTAATCTGTACTGACCTGGAAATAAATTCAGGCCCAAATTCGTAATGTGAAGTAGAGAAGCAGTAAATTTTTCTAATTTAAGTAAATGATACCTAGGTATGATAGATGATAATTCATGTTCAAAACTAGTAAATTACTGAAAAGTATGTCTTTCAATCTTAATTAAAATAAGGACTGATGTTAACACAATAGATGATCCCCAACTTTCAATGATTCAACTTAATATTTTTCAACTTCACAGTAGTATCAAAGCAGTACACATTCAGTAAAAACTATACTTTAAAAATCAGTCTTTCCCCAGGTTTGCAATATGTAATACTATGGTCTTTTGTGATCCCAAACAGCAGCACTGAGCCCCAGCTCACCTCTGCCCCCAAATGAGGGGGAATGGCTGATACTTTACAGTGTACTTTGTTATGATGTTTAGTAGCTTAGGTGTATTAAATGCATTTTCACCTTACAATATTTTCCACTTATGACGGCTTTATCAGGGCATAACCAATCATAAATTACAGAGAATCTGTATAAAAGATTTTAAAACTACTTTTTCTTTAAAGAGTGGATGTTTTTAAATTACATAAATCTATAAATCTCTTAAAGGTTCCTTTTTGCTCATGTTACATAAATGGCCTTAGCTGGATATTTAGGATGGCAAAGTGCTGGGTGTATTATATTGATCTCAGTGATATTTCAGCTGACCTGGCCACATAGTTTAAATGATGTGGTACTTTATTTGGAATAGAGGCTTCTATACTAAAAGCAAAGCAGCTTATAGAGCAGTTTTAGGTAGAGTGCTACCAAATACCATACTCTCTCCTATTTTCATGTTGAGGAAAATTACTCATTTTTTTAGTCTAGCAAGATCCTGCAGACATCTCTAATGTCATGAAAAGAACCTAAACTTGCAATCTGAACCTTGGAAATGTAGTCTTTATTCTTTTTCTCAGTAACCCAGCAGCCTTCAGGGAGGGCCTTCATCTTTCCAACCTTCACCTTTTTCACTAGTAAAAGTTGGGTGTTGAGACCTTCTTTAAAGGGTTATTATAATGATTGAGACAGTGCATGTGTGAAATGCATGATGTAACCTAACCACATGAAAGTGCAAGATAATACTACTGTCACAGCATAACTCACTTCTTACAGTGCATTTACCAAGCCAGTCAGGACAAGGGTAGCATGCCACTCCTATGTCTTAGAAATAATCTATATATTTGACCAGCTCCACATCAGATTAAACAGACACAGATTAATTGACTAGGCTGGAGATAAAAATATGAGATGCCTGTGAAAATACATAGTTATTTTCTTATGCAATTATTTATTGGTGATTATTCCTTGATGCATATTTATCCTTTTTCCTCTAGAGAATTCAGTTAGTTGTGTGTTTTTGGGATTACAGACATGTACCACTACACTCAGCTTGTTATATCATGTATGAGATAGGATCAAAAATACAGTGAACATTTAAACTTAAAAATGTATTACACTAAGAGACACATGCCAATAATCCTCTTCAAAATCCCTCTCACCTGGAACATATCCCATCACTCTTCCTACTTTCTGAAGCATTCCTGGAAGTCCTCTTTTGTATCTTTAGTTGAACTGTTATGGCTACCTCAGTGTTCTGAATTGATTCAAAACATTTGCTTTTCTTGGTCATTTTGACTTTAGGGAAGAGCCAGGAGTGATGCAGTGCCAGATCTGGTGAATAAGGTAGATGAGAACACTGTCATGTTCTTATGAACCTGCCTCTCTGTTGGATGTCACTTGGCAGTAGTATTAACCATATTTTTTTATCATACCTTGTAAAGACCCTCACAGAAGAGTTTGCTAGTTTTCTTTCTCAACTTTTTCATTTTCCAATGTTTTCTCTAAAAGTATAGTATTAGAAGAATTATTATGACCTCATTCTGTAAAGCCCTGTAACAGATCGCTTTAGCTGGAGCCCAAGCATGTTTCTCTTCATTCTGTGTCCTACCTTTCTAAAAGTAAATGAAGGCCTTCCCAGTCTTTTATGTTGTGTTTGTCATTTAAAACTTTCTGTCTTGCAGCTGGATTCTGAAACCCTGTTAAACTGACTTTCTCCTGGAGACTTTCCAACAGTTCAGTTCCTTTTCTAGGCTTTCCAGTTCAATACTTGACTCTTATAGAATGAATAGAACCGCGCTGCAGCTTATTTACTGCATTTGTCAGCCTTAATTTTCAGTTACTATTTTTGCCCCAGTGGTATAGCTACTTAAAAGAATTAAAGAGCTCAAGAATTGTGTTTTTAGTCTTCTTGGGCAGTAATATATTCCTTCCTGTTCATTGGTCTTTCAGACATTTGTCAGCAGATTTAACAAGCATGTTTTTTTTAGCATAAACTATAAATTCAGTATAAAGAAAGTTTAATAATACATACTAGATATACAATTGATTTCATACATACACACTTACAGAGACACATAATTTTCCTTGGACTAATTTTGGAAGCCTATGCATATTAGTCTACCAAATTATATTACTCTGCCAATAAACAAGGAAGTAGAATAAAAATAGTTATCAGAAACATAGTGTAAAGAACTTATAACCTCACTCAGGAGAAGCTTGAAATTATTTCATGCTTTTGGATTACCTAAACAAAAACAGCTTTTCCAACATGTGTTCTTTGAATATGGGAGATAAATTACTGGAGTTTAATTTTGTTTTAAGTGATTTTAATAGTATCATACATGGTTACCTCTGTTTTCTTTTGTATTAGAGTCTAAAAATAATTGAACTGTAAAATTAATTTTATATAACTCCTAAAGGATCACAAAACATAGCCTGTATCAGAAGCCCTAGTCCGATTATGCTGCCCACCCCTACATCTCCACTTCATATTGTCAGCATTGTGAAGCTTTTCTTACCAGTTAACCTGTACGAAATCCTTTTGGACATAACAGACTATTTTTTTAGTACCAGAAATCGAACTCAGGGCCTTGCACTTGCCAGGCAGGTGCTGCGCTGCTGAGCTACATTCCTGGACCAATAGACTATCTTTGTAAAATGTTTTATTATGTTACTTTCCCAAAGGCTTGGATAAAAAAGCATTTTGAGTCTTTGGGATAAGTCCCTTAATAAATAGATCAGATCACAGCAAATTAGAAGAGAAATGGGAAGATTAGAAAAGAAGTCGTAGGTATAGACTGCTTGTCTGAGAAATTTGGCAGATAAACCACTAACAGAAGACCTAGAATCAAGTACAAGTTTATGTATTTGTTTTTAATATAGACTTAAATATGCTAGAAGGTTGAATTTTTTTAAAAAGCCTAGGCAGAATTACAAAGTAAAAGAATACTTGTGGAATTAAGATTTTTGGAGAAAGCTAGAAAAGATGGAGTCCAAAATACAGGTAGAGGGACAAAATATTCTTTTTATTTTAGGAGAAACTTCTATAAAGCATGAGAGTGCAGATATAGAAAAAGTAAATTGTTACAAGAATAACAGGGTGCATGATGGTACTTCTAGATGTTCTCATTCTTAACTCTTTGTGTCCTTTTATATTTCCTCAGCATGTTGACATAGCAGCATTACTGATAAAATACAACACGTGTGTAAATGCAACAGATAAATGGGCATTTACTCCTCTTCATGAAGCAGCCCAAAAAGGAAGGACACAGTTATGTGCCCTACTCCTAGCACATGGTGCAGATCCAACTATGAAGAACCAAGAAGGTCAGACGCCTTTAGACCTGGCAACAGTAAGTCCTCATTTCAGATACTGACTGTTGTTCATGATAGTTTCAGAGATGACATTACTTTCTCCAGCTCAATAGGTTTACCTTTAGTGTTTATTTTGTTTAGAATAAGAACAGATTTCCTTAACCCAGACTCATAAACACAAGTATTGCATGCTTTCTCTCCAAAGTGGAATCTAGGAAAAGACAAAGAGAAGAATATGACACAAAAATAGAATGGAGACTGTTAGAGAAGAGGTGCTATTGAGGGGTGGGTGAATATGGTCAAATTATGAGATACGCCTTTATGAATATATCACGGTGAAACCCATTATTTGGTAAAATAATAAGCACTAATAAAAAATTAAAAGAACACATTTTCTCCTGAAAATTTTTTGAAGTTCACATTTGTTATATTTAAAATTTTGTTAAGGTAAACCAAACAGTAAATTAACTTCATTAAATACTTGAAATTAGTTTGAAGAAGAAAACATGAATCATAGGGAAACATATTTCTAGCATGGATCCCCGATTACATTTAGCAAAATATCTTGAACCTTCTATAGATGACATATTATTGTTGAGTAACTAATGTTCATTAGTGTGCATTAATGTTCATTAAAATATATGTAATATATTACACATATAACATATATATACATATATAATATATTTACATATATAATATATATTTGAGATAAACCAAAAAATTATGAAAATGAAAAAGTAAATTAATATACTATAAAAACATTTTTAAAACCAAGAGTTAAATTTAATTGCTAAATTAAACATTGCTTCATCTCCAAACTTTCTGAAAGTCAAGGAATTAATAGTCACAATCATTACAATTTTTAAGCCAGAAAGAATTTTTCCAAGTTATATTCTATTTCATTTCTTTATTGCTGAATAACAGACTATTTCAAAACAGTAGTTTAAAATAATAATGATTAATAATATCTCATGATTCCTTACATTGGTAGAATATTCTTTCACTGAACTCACTTCGGGTCACTTGGCAGCTGCATACACCTGGTAGACGCAGGAACATAAAGATGGCTTCACTAATGTGCCTAGGGCAGAGGTGGCTGAAGGATAGAACTACTCTCTATGTCCCCACATGGTGTCTCATCATTAAGTAGTCTTGCTACAGTGTTTTGTTTTTGTTTTGTTGGGGTTTGTTTTTTTTTTGGCATTTCAAGAGAGAGATGGCAAAAGCTATCAATCCTCTTAAAAAACTCCCACCACGTTCTCTTGTGCATAGCAAGTTATGAGCAGCCAGCCTACATAAAAAAGATAGAAAAATAGACTCTACCTCCTTTAAGGGCAAACCAAAGATTTTGTAGTGGTCTTTAGTCTACCAGTGTCCTTCCCTATGGCCACAAGCTATGTATATTTCTCTTACATTACTGTATTCACAGTCCTCCCAAGCTGGCCAAGTGGCTGTCACTGGTACATAGCAATTCTGAAATCCAGTTCAGGCATATCTTTTCAGAGCCGTCTATTCAGCAGTCAGGGAATAGTCCTTGATTAGAGCCCACTTCTGCTCCCAAGGAGTGGTTTTCATGGTTTTCTGTAGCACTGGCTGTGTCTTCTGAATCACCCTACTCTTTCCATAAGAAATGGTCCATATTTACAGCTAAATGGCTTTTGCAACCTGTTCCTTGCTCCTAGAAATGTGGGAACTGATAGCCTTTCTTCATTTTGATTTATCTGTTCCTTTGGTCCCAACTGGTATAGTTATAAATTTGAATTTCCTGTCAAGTTATAGTCATTGCATTGGACAGCATAGACCAACCAAGCACAACCATAGACCTCTTCACAGTAAGTCCCTCTCTGATTTGGATTGCAAGTCAGGGTACTGTGGAGCAGTGCCCTTAGAGAATCTTTTTCATCTAGCTCAGAGTTCAAAATCTACCACCTTAAAGGTCTTGTTAAGGCTTCTCAGTAATATATCCAAACCAGTCAATTAATTTTTACTTTGAGGCCATATTTTATTATTAGCATTCTATGTTTTGGGGGGTTTTTTGGTACCGAGGGGATTGAACTCGGGACCTTGCACTTGCGAAGCAAGCGAAGGAACCACTGAGCTAAATCCCCGGCCCAGCATTCTATATTTGATCTTTAGCCTGGACTGTTTTTCCTTTGAGAAATTCTTGCTGGTAGGAAGGCTGAGGATGAGGAATAATTTTATTTTCCAACTTAGCATATCCTAGGTAAATATTTTTCCTTAAAGAGAATAAAATAGTTCCTTTCTTAGTTCATTTCTCTCCTGCTATACCTTATTATGGGCAAATAAAACAAGTTGGTTTAGTCTGCAGAGTCAGCATTCTTGAAATCTAAGACAAATCTACAAGTTTCTTAGGTTCATTTTGCCTTTCATAGTACTTCATTTGCCAGTGCTTGCAGATACTTTACTACACAATATCACTTCCCATCTTTAGCCTTCAATAGTAACTGCCTGTCTCCAGCTCCCACTAACAGTCACCATGCTATACTAATGACTCCAGCCAAAGCCACACCATAGGTTTTTGTTACAACAAATTGCTATTTCCATATACCAATTCCCATGCCTGGCATTCAAAGAAAAAAATTCACAAAATGTTTGCGTATTTAATGAAAAACTTAACATTTATAATACAGTGTTTTGTGGTTTTTTTTTTAATTATTCTTTTTAGGCTGATGATATCAGAGCTTTGCTGATAGATGCCATGCCCCCGGAAGCTTTACCTACCTGTTTTAAACCTCAGGCGACTGTAGTGAGTGCTTCTCTGATCTCCCCAGCATCCACCCCCTCCTGCCTGTCTGCAGCCAGCAGCATAGATAACCTTACTGGCCCTTTAGCAGAGTTGGCAGTAGGAGGAGCCTCCAATGCAGGAGATGGTGCAGCTGGTACAGAAAGGAAAGAAGGAGAAGGTGTGTAGAACCTCTGAACACTGACTTCTTTACATCTCTTTTAATGGAACAGATTCCCTTTTACTGTTGTTAGTTATCGAACATGTCACTTAGAAATATCCTATCTGTAAAGTTTTGAACACATAACATCTGACAAGAAATACTCCTTCATAGAAAGCTGCTAAGATCCTTGGCATCTACATTGTTATTTATTAATACTGTATTCTAGTATGTCCGTTTCTAACCATAGTATCTTACTGAGTGCATGAGTCTATTGAGTGAGTCTTAATACTGAAATTACATCAGAAAACAACTGATTATTTAAAGAATGTACACTAAAGCTATAGTACATTTTGATTTTTTTAATTAGTTAAAATATTAAGTTATCCTATATAAAATAGCATTTTATGCTATTAAAAGTATAATTAAAATATTCTGTCCCTAGATATATTATAGAATTACATAGTCTAAGTCTATATTCTAGCTGTATTATTAGTTAATACATATACTACTGATGTAATAAAGCACTCTGCTTTTATTTCTCAGCCAAGCTCAGATATAACTTGAAATATTGAATTAAATTTATGTACTCTGAGTTATGTTATACTATATAGAATGTTCTATATAACCAAGGAACATGTCTTTAAATAGATACTAAAAGTTTCTTTAGATTCATAAAACTTCTTTGAAAATCTTTATTTAGTATGTTTCTGTTCTAGTTGCGGGTCTTGACATGAATATCAGCCAATTCCTAAAAAGCCTTGGCCTTGAACATCTTCGGGATATCTTTGAAACAGAACAGGTAAACTGTTTGTTATATATTTGAGACCTTAGTTAAATATTGAGTTATTAATTGCCATCCATTTTTTTTCCTTCACAACTGTTTTAAAACCTGTATCACATTTCTATAGAAGCCAGAGGAGCCCAATATTTTATAGTTCTCCCATAAATTATCTGAAGAGTTGAGAGTCTTTAATTGTTATCTTATTTTGTCTTTATAAGCATTCTTGCTGTGTACATTTTGTCGCCTGTCAAAACTTAGATACTGTGAGGGATGAGAGGGTAGCTCACCTAGCATGCAAAGGGCTCTGGGTTCAATCTCCAGCCTTGCAAAAGCAAACAAACCTAGACCATAAAACTACCTCTAAAGAATGTTTTCAAAATTGTCTTTTTTTTTTTTTGCTTTCAAAAATGTATTTATTCATCTCATTTCATTAATGTCATTTAGTAATAAAGATCTTTCTGTTTTCATGCCTTTTTTTAATGGATAATGCTTTCTTCATATTGCATGTGCTTATTAGCATGGTCAACATTAAATACTGGAAGATGATTGGTACCTGAGTTTAAATTAAGTTACTTAGGGCCGGGGATTTACCTCAGTGGTTTCGCCGCCTACTGCGCAAGCACAAGGACCCGAGTTTGATCCCTAGTACCAAAAAAAAAAAAAATTAACAATTACTGATATACATGGAATCTTAGAGTGAGAAAAGTGTTTAGAGATCATTAAGTCATTCTTCTAAGTTATCGATGTCAGGCCACAAGGCAGGGATGATAGATAACTCGGTACAACTCTGGATAAGTGTAATAGAATGTTTGTAGTTTAAATTATGCCAAAATCTGCCCCTATATTTAATCCATTTGTCTCAGGTTTGTTTACTGAGTTTTGCACAAAAATCTAATCTGCAGTCTACATATGTACTGTTTCATAGGCCTGCTATAATAAATTACCACAAACTTTGGTGGCCAAACAAATATATTTCCCCAGAAGTTTGAAATCAAAATGAAGTTAGGGCTGCATACCCTACAGAGGCTCTAAGGGAGAAGCCTATCAGGTCTCATAGTCCACCTTCCTTGGTTATGGCCACATTACTTCAGTTCCTACTTCTGTCTTCATGTTGCCTTGTCATCTGTCTACCTTCTCTGCTTCTCTTGTGAGATTTTAGGGCGTTTCTTACTGAATTTATGGCCTACCCTATATTATCTTGGATGACAATCTCATCTAGAGATCTTTTAATTATATCTGGAAACTCCTTTTTTCTATGATTTTCACATAGTGTAGGGATTAAAACCTTGATATTTCTTTTTGAGAGCCACCAACATAACACAGCCTTTCATATCTTTTTAAAACATAGTCAACTCATCATGGAGTTCACCCTTCCAGTCACTTACCTTTACAAATCTACCCCTATTTTAGGAGAAATATTCTGACTTTTTCAATTATTCTTTATGTGACATAGCTTCTAAATTCTTCACTGGCCTTGGCCCCATTCTGGCTTCTTTGTAGACTTACAGTCAATCTGTAGCTAATTAAAACCCCAGGTCAGGCTGGGGATTTAGCTCAGTGGTTTCGCCGCCTGCTGCACAAGCGCAAGGACCCGAGTTTGATCCCTGGTACCAAAAAAGAAAAAAAAAAAAAAACCCAGGTCTTTTTTCTTTCTCTTATGCTTTTTCTTATTTTTTAGCTAAATAATTTCTTTATATTCTAGTTCATTGCTAATGCTCTTAATGATCAAAATAGTTGAATAGAAATAGTGTTGGACTAAATGAAGACCTTTTTATTTTCTCCCTCTTACTAACTGTGTACATCTTGGTAGAAAGACATTTAACCTGTCACTTTCCTTAACTATATAGTACCTGCAGTGTCCAGAGAGTTACGATTCCAAGCAATATTGTGCCAATTTTTAAAACATGCTTTAGTAAACACATCTCATGGGTCTTGTTTTTGGTCATGAGGACATAATAGTCTGCTATAAGAATTTCCTTTTGGTACCATTTATTCATCTTCTGATTTATAGATATTTCTTAGGTGAATATTATAAAGAGTAAGAATCTTTTACCTCATTCCTTTCCTAAAGGTTTTTGTGTTAACACATTATCCTCTGCTACAGCCACATTAAAGCCATATCTCGTCATTCTAATCATACCCACAATAATTGTGGAACTGCAAATACTTCTTCACTTAATAAACCTGCTTGGAACAAGTACAGTGGCACCTTGATTCACGAATGCTTTTGCTTGCAAGCAATTTGGTTCTGAAACAAGCATTTGGCAAGATTTTTTTGTTTGTGAACTCTGCATTGGGTGACAAACTTGACCACAGCCATCTTTCCCACACAAACACAAATGTGGCCATCTTTTCCAAAATCATAGAACAAATTTTTCCAGAATTGTAGAATTCATTCATGAATTGAGATACCATTGTAACAGTGTATCAATAAAAGAAACAGTAAGGAAAGCAGATTAAGGGCCAGGGATGTAGCTCAGTGGCGCTGCACCTGCCTAGCAAGCACAAGGTCCTGAGTTCAATTCCTGGTACCGGGGGAAAAAAGGAAAGCAGATAAATTGAACTTTTGATATGTCGTTCCAAGATTCAGGGCTTTTATAGCCCTATAAGCTGCTAGAAATATCTTTTTGAACATCATCTTTAAAGTGACTCACTCTTAACTTTGATTTCGTTATATCCAGATAATCACAGGTCTTTTGGGCTACTTATATCCAGCATACATTTGCAATAGGATATCAGTAGTTAGTAATTAAAGGCACATCTAAATAAAAATGTAAAGGCTCTTATTTTGTGAACTGTTCTGTTTCAAAGATATCAGAACTGTTGCTTTTAAAAGCTCTGATGAAAACTTCCTTTGGGTGATTCAAAGTGAATTGCCCATTTTGTGCAATGGAGCAATGATTTCTTAAATGGCCACTTAGAAGCAATATACTAAATTACTTCAGAGAAAAAGTGATGTATGCTCATTGCCCTGAGATGATCAGACTCATATAATATTTCATTCTGACAATAAAAATCAGCTCCAGGCCTTGTCAGGTTTTTTAAATGTTATGTCCAAGTAGGTTAGAAAGAGCTATGGCTAGACTACAGATGTCTCATTTGACTTAGAAAAAGAGTGTCTATAAAAGGATTTCTCAGTTTTCCAAGGAAATGGAAAATCAAAAGCTATGTTTGGATTGTCACAGAGCCCACTTCTAAGCTGTGAAATTATACATTCAGCCTGCCAAAGATGCAGCTGCCCAATTTCATCCTGTACATTCAGAACACTGCCACTGGGTGGTAGCATAGTTACTTTGTTAGATACTTACTCATTTGATAGTTATTAGATACTTTTGAGCCAGATGGATACTTCTAATTGTCTCCATCTACAGGGATGAATAACCAAAAATTTCAAACCACTATCTTGTACAAAAACAGACTGTGTTATGCATCAGGAATTGTTAAATCTTACAATCTGTGAGAGATTTAAAAACCATCTACTCAGCCTTTCCTTGTCCAAACTGGAATTTTTTATGTAGCATCTCCATAAACTGATCTCTAACTTAATATGTACTTCAGATCTAAATCTCACTACTTTCTAGGTAGCCTATTCCTACCTTGAATATTTGTTAGCAGTGGGAATTTCCTTATGTTTCCTAAAATCTGCTTACCTAAAACCGCTTACTCATTTTGCCTCATTCTGTTTAATTGTACCAAACATTTCTCCTTTTCCCCTACCATTCCTTTCTATTATCTGCTGGATGCTGGGTCATGGGATTTCCCTACTTTCAAGCTACTGATCCCTACTAAGTCTCAAGGCAAACAGAAGATTGTAGAATTAGATCATCAAAGAAAAATACAGTGATGATCATTTTATATGTCTACAACACTGTTTTTTCCTTTTAATTCTCCACTGATTTAAAGCAAACAGTATTCCAAGTTAGGAAAAAAGCTGATAAGATAATCAAAGAAACTTTGAGAAAATTGTAAGGACATGCTTACAAAAGAAATAAGAGAATCTTCTAAAATTTGTATGGTGATCATAGCATTGTAGACAAATGGAAAAGTTTTTGTCCTCTGAGGAACTAGTAAAGATTTAGCAACTAATTGTTTTTTTTCATTTTTCAGATTACACTAGATGTGTTGGCTGATATGGGTCATGAAGAATTGAAAGAAATAGGCATCAATGCATATGGACACCGCCACAAATTAATCAAAGGAGTAGAAAGACTTTTAGGTGGACAACAAGGTAAGCTATTTGGAAAAAAATTTCAGAAATTAGTGATACAAGATTAATGTTGGGCCTGGCATTGGAGCTCAGGCAGTGTGACCACAGAGTCTGTGCATGTAACTATTATGGAATCTCCTGTCTTCCTCATCTCAGTGATTGGCACCACACTCCCACTCGGTGCAAAGGACTGAGCGTCATTCTGTCCTCTCTCCCTGTACTTTATATCCTAAGTCCTCTGTAACATCATACTGTACTTCTGTTTTTTCCCACTGTTTTTACCCAGTTTTAAGCCACTGTCACCAACCTCTCCTGGACTGTCTCAAGTGTGTGCCAGCTTGTCTCCAGCCTTCACCTTTGTCTTTCTCCAATACCTTCTCTGCACTGTAACCAGAGGATTGTTCAAAATGAGTGTATGACCAAATCACTCCATTGCTTAAATCCTTCAATAAGATCCCATAGCTTTTCGGATGAAATCAGACCCTTATAACCCAGATCTTCATAACCTGACCTTTCTTACCTAACCTTTAACCTTTCTTTCTCCCCCATGACTATCAGCTCGGTCTTTTTCTGTTGTCCTTTGTTGTTACAAGCTTCTTATATTTCTTCTTTATGTTTATTTTTTCTGTTGGACATACTTTCACTACAGGAAGGCAAAAGGATTAGTCAATATACAGATCTAATAAAATTTCAAGAGTGCCAAACTAAAAGGAGGTTTTGAACTTGATTCTCGCTTATGTATCTGTATTTTAGACCATCCATGAAATTGACAAGGATAATGTATTGTAAAGCTACTGTGACTTTTCAAGTCACCCAAGAAGAGGTTTTGAGGACAATTCATATATTCTAGACTTAACTACACTGTAATTTCAGTGCGGTACTCTTTTGGGTGAGACATATCTTCATGTATGTTCATGATTGATTTCAGTTTAACAAATGTTTGTTGAGACATGCTCTGTACAGAGAGCTCAGTAACAGCAGATAAAACAGATCCCCAAACATATCACCTTTGTTGATTTGTTTAATATAACCTTATGTTTGACATTCAAATTGAAAATAATTTAAACTTTACCAAAATGCCAGTTATTTATGACTTAATTTTTCTCTAAAATAGAGCCTTGAATAGAATGGACTTTTGTTTTTATATGTTGTTTTTCTCTCACAGGAACCAATCCTTATTTGACTTTTCATTGTGTAAATCAGGGAACTATTTTGCTAGATCTTGCTGCAGAAGATAAAGAATATCAGTCAGTAGAAGAAGAGGTAATGGACTCCAAAAATATTAATTTTCTTTTCCTGAAACTGTATTTAAGCCTATTTTTCCAGAAGACATAAGCTTATTTTACACTGCTGTATGATCACTTACCTACTAATCAATCTCCTTTAGCTAATGTAATGGAATATTACCAAAATTAAAACATGACTATAGGTTAGAACTATGCCACATAGTTTTCACTTGACAAGCCTGTCCCATTGTACAGCAGATCTGGCTTTTTATTCTGGAAATTTCCTTGAAACTCATGCAAGTAAAGATCCTGTTAGAGCTATTTCTTATATTAGAATGCTATCTAAGAATATAGAGTGAAAATCTTGCCTCATCGATAGCAAGTATCTTCTAATCTTTATTGTATGCAGTTATAAAATGTCTTATTTTCACAAATGTTTTAGAAGTCTGCCACATAATTCTCAAGCACTGTAGTAAAGCTGTTTGTATAAACCTCCTATATGACCCTGCTGGTGGCATGGAGATTTCCTCTGTATTGATGGCTTGTGCTTCATTTCTTACCCATAATTTCATTATTATAAGTTAGCTCCCTGATTCCACAATTATGCAAATACATTAGCAGATAAAGATATACTCATATTTAAGTTTGTTTGTTTTTAAGTAACATTCATCTTATTTTCACTCTCATGGTAGGAAGTCAAGACCATTACCTCAGAGCAATATTTTGGGTCATGCTCATCAGTTTCTCGGGAGAGCATTGTGTCCTCTGGAACTTTATTGCCATTTTTTTTTCCTGCCCTTGCTGGGGTTTGAACTCAGGGCCTTGTATATGCTAAGCAAGTACTCTACCACTGACCACATCCCAGCCCAAGAAACATAGATCTTTAAAACATTTTTAGTTTACATAATTTTAATTAGAATAGAAGAATGTATAGTGGGAGAAAAAAAAAGCTACTTTATTTAATTGCACAATATATTCCCCTTCCCCTTGTCTATGTAGATATATTTCAAATTCCTACTGTAAAAACTATTGGGATAATGTGGAATGTTTCACCTCGGGAACAAAAATATATTGGATTTTTAGAAATTATTTTTAGCATTTGTCTAAAGGGGTGTTAATTCAGTGGAAGTTTTAATTTAATCGCAATGTTGCTTCTCAATCTCACTAACATAAAATAGTAAATGTAGATGATTTAAAATGACATTTTTCTGTTTCCCAATTGTGTTTCCAGAAAAAAACTTTCAAAGCTTTTATCAGAAAATGCATAAATTTAATATTTATGACTATTTTCTGACAGAAATACTTATCCACTAAATTTATTGACCAATTAGATTCACTAGTTGAAACCATATATGAACACTGAAAATAACAGAAGGAACTGTTGTTAGTATTATACTCTGGCATATATTCATAAAGTTAATTACTGCATTTTGTTTTATAGATGCAGAGTACTATTCGAGAACACAGAGATGGTGGTAACGCTGGTGGCATATTCAACAGATACAATGTCATTCGAGTAAGTTTAAAACTTTTAAAGTGAAAACTGTATTGCGAGGCTTGCCTAAAAGTCAAATCTAAACAATGAGAAAGAAATTGTCATATTTTCAAACTGTCAAAGATAATTACCTGTTTCACTGATGTCAAAGTCTCTCACTACACGGGCTGGGGATTTAGCTCAGTGGTTCCGCCGCCTGCCTCACAAGCATAAGGTCCCAAGTTCCATCCCCAGTACCAAAAAAAAGACCAAAAAGACAAAGTCTTTCACTACAATACAACCTCTTAGCCTCCAGGACCATGCTTCACTAGAAGTTGAGACACCTTGAAACACCAAACCTCCAAACAGAAAGCAAAATCAGGCTATATTGGTGATGAATATATGGATATGAGTCTCCCAAGTTCATCCACACATTTGGACTGTACCAAGTGTTTTTTTTATCTTTCGAAAGTAGAATTAAAGGTCCAGATTGTCTATCTACTTGAATCAGTAATGATACCAGAATAAATAAATATATCTCTTAATGTCAGCATCTTCATTTATAATATAGAATAGATAACTGTTATATGCTTTTTCAAAGGGGCATCATGAATATGAGTAAAATCTGTTAACCAGCTTAACCCATTGAGTTAACAGACCTATGGAACTTACACTGATGCCCATAAGAATTCACAAGAGAGCTTATTTTAATATATTATTACTACGAGCTGGGGATTTAGCTCAGTGGTTTCTCCACCTGCTGCACAAGCGCAAGGACCCGAGTTCGATCCCCAGTACCAAAATATACACATAAAATTACTGCTTGGCTGCTTTTATTCTTAAAAAAATTTTTTTTCCAGCAAGGGGGATTGAACTCAGAACCTTGCACTTGCAAGGTAGGCACATCACCACTGAGCTAAATTCTCAGCCCTCAGCTTATTGTAAAAACACAGATTTATAGGACACTCATTCATTAAGCCTAGGAGCAACCTTTTATTTTTAAACTCCTGAAATGAGTTTGAGGCAACAGCCTAGTCTGAAACAGAATAGCAAATATTGTCACTAAAATTATGTCACTAGCAGTCAGTGTATTAGCTGAATTCCACTGACATTGGCAGCTTTACTGCTTTTAAAGGTCTTCAGCAAACAAAACAATTGACTCCACCTAAAGGAAACCATACTTAAATAATAAACATATTTTACTAATAACTAACTTCTTTCTTCTTCATAAAGATTCAAAAAGTTGTCAACAAAAAGTTGAGAGAGCGATTCTGTCACAGACAAAAGGAAGTATCTGAAGAGAATCACAACCATCACAATGAGCGCATGTTATTTCACGGTGAGTAGCCTGCAGTAGTTGTAGACATCTGTCTAGGCTTTTATAAAATGAGTAAAGTTAAAAAAAAAAGAAAACACCTGTGTGTTAACCTTAATAGGCTTGAGTTAGAATGGCTTGTTGTGGTTTTCTTTTTTCAAATACATACATGATACTGGCTCCCAATGCATTATGTGTTATTATCGGCTTTCCAAGGCATATACAGTGAAAATAGTTGATCTAAAATTGCTTTAGAACTTAAATTACAAGTTGAGCCACTTAGTATTTTTTTGCTGTAATTTAATTATTTTAGTTTATTCCATGCAAGTTTACATCTAAAATAATCTGTATTTCTAAAGCCTCATTGTACTTTCCTATCTAAAATCTCATGCTGTCTGCAAAATCCATATAGCATTCTTGTTTGACAACTACTGTGTGGGTCACTAGTAAGATTCTAGTACAATACAACAAGTATAACAGGCCATCCTAAAAAAAATAAACTTTTTTACTTATGCATTATTAATATTCATCTACTCAGTGCAAATAATATACAGCTAATTGAGATTCTAGAAAAGTGCTTAAAACTAATCTATCTTTATATTTTTAGGTTCTCCTTTCATTAATGCCATTATTCATAAAGGGTTTGATGAAAGACATGCATACATAGGAGGAATGTTTGGAGCTGGGATTTACTTCGCTGAAAATTCCTCAAAAAGCAACCAGTATGTTTATGGGATTGGAGGAGGAACAGGCTGCCCTACACACAAAGACAGGTCTTGTTATATATGTCACAGGTGAGCATGTTCCCTTTTGTGAAATGGTTGCTACCTGCAACTGGATTATACACAATAAAGGTGAACCTAGGTGAGGCTTAAAATTAAACACACAAGTTATGACTTAGACAGTATTTCCTAACAAACAGAGCCTAATGTTAAAGCATTTGACTAACACTTGATTGACAAGTGCCATCCCAAGGAAGCAGGAATAAGGGCACAAAAAGAAGTAGAAAAGGAAGCAGAGCAGAACAGCAATGTGGATCAGTGAGCTAGCTGTCCATGGCTTCATAAAAAGTGCAGTCAGTTGTTCAGCCCATAAGATCTTGAGAGAAACTGAATGAAGTACATACTTCATCTCAGAACATTACATAGTATATTAATGGGAAAAGGAGATGGATTCATCTGCTGGCTCCCATCTTACACTGGCCAGCATTTGCCCCTTGGGGCATTGGTACTTCTGTGTTTTTGGCTGCTGTGTCTACATAATGCATGGAATTGCACAAGGCAAGTCAGTGAGCAGACGTGGCTCAGTACTTTCCACCTGCACTCCTGCAGCTAGCAGCCTCATGGGGTGGGCAGGTAGGGCCTGTCGGTCAGGTCAAGTGTGTGTCACAGCACAGACGAGGAATGCAGACTAATGACAGCACACTGCTGCCACATTGTAGAGATGGAGCTCAAAAAACTTTTATGTAGAGCAGTGATGGCAAACCTTTAGAGACAAGTGCCCAAACTAAAGTACCAACACTACAGTTAAACCTGAATATTGAGGTTTTAGTTTAAAAAAAAAACTTGGACATTAACATCTTTTGTCGTAAAAGAAAAACAAATAACGTGCGTGCCATAGGTTCACCACCACTGCTTTATAGTAAATCTGTAACTCAAGTCTCATCCACTCATACACATCAACTTGAAAATATTTAAATTGGTATGCCTTATATTATTTTTTAAGAATCAATAAACTTAACAGTTCTATCATTTGAAGATTTGAAACTTCCCTCAGAGCATTGCTTTCCTTTTTCTTTAGACAAATGCTGTTCTGTAGAGTGACCCTTGGAAAATCCTTTCTGCAATTCAGCACCATGAAAATGGCCCACGCCCCACCAGGACATCACTCAGTTATTGGCAGACCAAGTGTCAATGGGCTGGCATATGCCGAATATGTCATCTACAGAGGAGAACAGGTAGGCTACTCATCCTGTGACCATGACAGAGTCATTAAACATGTCAGCACAGCAGATAGAGACCACTGAGATTGAAGAAAATCTTTAAATGGAATATCCACTACATAGTTGGAGAGCATCAGTCACTTCTAAAGCCAGCATAGATTTTAAAGTTACGTGACAAGAAAGACTTTTTTAGCCCCATCTAGTCCCATCTACTACTGTAATTCAATGATTCCCTTGCCTTAAATCCCTCTGGACTTTGATGTGATTAATCAGGACTTTAAACTTTGCACAGAAATAATTCAGTAGCCTAGTGAGCAGCACTCAGATGAGGAGCTTAAAGAAATTCATGCCATTAGAATCTTCAAATATCCCTAACTAAAATTTACATGTATCAGAGATCACATTAAACAGCATGCTTCCAAGATGCTCATGCTGACTCTGCTTAAGCGTCTGTTCTGCAAACAAAAAGAAAGTATTGTAGCAAGTACTGGAGATAGTAGGCTTTTCTGGGATAAAAGTAAGTAGGAACAAGCTTCACACTCATTTTTCATTTGTAGCAGATGTCAGCATGGGTTAGTTTTTAGTTCTCTTATTCTTTGGCTTATCCTCCTAGACTAGATCATCAGCTCCCTGACAGCAAGGTCACCACCTTACACCAGAATGTTTTGTATGTGTTACAGGCTCGATACTTACTTATCGATGATGAATAAATAATTTTCTTAGCCATAAACCATCTGGTTGACTAATCAATATTTCTATTTTTCTGCCAGTATATGAGCTTTGCTACATTCTTTATAACCAATTCTAGAATTAACAGTGTGTGACCCAGTTTGTTTTAGCATCTGAAAACTAAAATGCCACCTTAAAACTATTTCAGGAATTAAGCAGTGTACAGATTATAATAAAGTGAAACTATAGAGTTTTCAGTTATTGAAGTTTCCTGTTAGAAAGTCAAAAGACACTATTGTGGCTTTCCTCACCATAGCCCATCCTGCCTCCTCCAGTATGTACTTTTATGTTACTTTTTCCTATTTTACTCAGCCCAAACTCACTGCAGAGCCAGTTTCTCCCTCACTCTTTACTTTGACTTTTTCAAATAAACATTGCTACCGTTTTTCACTCATTTCATCCAAAAAAATAAAAAAGGTTAAGAGAGATTGTCATCATTGGTTATTCCAACAGAATATGCTAATGATGAAAACAGATTTTTTTGGAGACAAGGTCTTGCTCTGTAATTCAGGCTATCCTTGAGCTCACTGTATAACCAAGGCTGGCCTCAAACTCACAGCAATCCTTCTGCCTCAGCTTTCCGAGTGCTGGGATTACAGATGTGTGCTATCACGCCCAACTAGAATTTTTTAAAACACATTTATATTTTTTGTTTTTTCAAAAATCCTTACTGAGGGTGAGGGATTTAGTTCAGTGGTTCAGCTGCCTGCCTCAAAAGTGCAAGGTCCCGAGTTCAATCCCCGATACCAAAAAAAAAGAGGAAAAAAATCCTTACTGAGACTTTGCAAGGCACTAGTCTGTAATGAGTGATAATAATGACAGTCACACTAATAGTAAAAAAACAATACAAAATAGATTCGTACTAGGCTGAGTCTATTCCAAGACCTTTCTATCTGATCTTCACAAAAAATCCTGTCACTACAGTTGTCACTGATAGATGAGGAAAGCTAAGATGTAACAGATTCTGCTTCTTAAAATCAAGGTGTATTAGTTACAAAGAAATAATTCAGTACATCTACCACATATTTCTTTTTGCATTTTAAATACTAATTAGTCCAATTTTTCTTCTCCTTCATGCCTTTTTTTATTGTCTTAATCCATATCTGTATGCAAGTAATTTGTAGATCAGCATTCAAGTTATTTTGGGACCCCCTCCCCCCAAAAAATATTTTGCTTCCCAGAGAGTATTATTTTTCATCCACAGGCTATTCTGAAATACTGAGTCTAGTTTTATCATCATGTTATATACAGGGTTGAAGAAATACTGAGTCTATTTGTATCATCATGTTATATATAGGGTTGAAGAAAACTAAAGAGGTTTTTTTGCTCCTCTTTTTCTAATTTCTGCCTTCATAGTGACTTCTGGCTAAGATTTAGGAGAGATTCCATCTGGTCAGCCTTCCTTTTCCAGCTCCTACTAAAGAGCACTCTTCCCATTCTAGATACTGAGCTTTGGGTTTTACTAATTGCAAGGAAAAAGAGATAAAGAGAAAGAATAGTGAGAGCGGCAAGTCTGAATCTGAAACATTATCTTTCCTTTAAAAGATACCTTTAATTAGTTATTAAAAAATTATCCCCAAACTATAGCCTCTTAAGTTATTGTTGGCTCAGTGAGTTACATCATTTTTGTGATCAAATTTCTGTTCAGCAGAATTATTTTGTTTAACAAACTTTATCAGCCATGTTATATCACAGCACCTTGCTAAGTGAGGTAACAAAGATGAATCTTATTGGGCCTTTGTTTTCCTCTTTATGCACATTGCTGTAATATAGGAAGAATGGAGTATAACTAAGTGACAGTGTGTAGAGTAGAAATAGGTGTGGAGGATACATAGCTCAGTGATAGAGCATTTGCTTAGCATGTGCAAAGCCCTGGGTTCTATGCCTAACTGAAGAGAGAAAAGAAATAATATCCAAGCTGTTTTCTAGATTGTAGATTTTATACATTTTATATACAAATAAGTTGATGGACCTTTCAGTTGTTCAGGTGCCTATTCCTGGACTTGATTTCAAAGGTTCCTGGGTCTATGTAGAATACTGTGTAGAATACAGTAGCCTCTGAGGCCTTCACATTAAGTAAAGCTTTAATAATATTGCACCTACCAGAAAGATGAGGAGCTTTTCTTCTTGTCCTTTCCAGGCATACCCAGAATATCTCATCACATACCAGATCATGAAGCCAGAAGCTCCTTCACAGACTGCAACAGCTGCAGAGCAGAAGACCTAGTGAATGCCCACCGGTAAAGGCCACATCAGATCCAAATCTGGGACTGGATTGTGTGGATTGCTTCCAACAACAACAACAACAAAAATCAATATTCTTAAATCCCTGACAGCCTAGAAATAAGCTGTTTGTCTTTTATAAAGCATTGCTATAGTGATGAATATAGTATGAGTAACTGACCCATACTCAACTGCTACTGTTCCCTTTGAGGAAATGTTTACAGGGGTGGCCTTTTGACATATCTCAGGCTCATTTTCATCACAGTTATCCATTTCTAAAGCAAGATTGCTTTGATCTGGACTTGGAAATGGAAGAAGAGGAAACATAACCAGTACTGTTTCAAATGTTCACAGTTCACACTACATTTGCTTTGTTAAATGTGGCACATGTATATAGCACATATATACAAATGCAGGCTCATTTTTATTTTTTTTTGCAAACATGCATCATTTTCGCTTTTTTTTTAACTTTTACTTTGAAAATGAGCCAGAACCTTCCTAAGGACATTTTGCACAAAGTCACACTGACTAAAATCACTAACAATGCAACCCCAACTTCTGGCTGAACAAGATTCTGTTTCCACGTTTTTGTTATTGTTTGATTTTATATCTGTGCTTCATGTTACCATAAATCAAGATGAAAAAGAAAAACGTAAAGTTGCCTTTTATGAATTGGCCCATCTTATGAGGGAAGGCACAAACATCAACCTGACTTAGGAGCTCCCAAGGTAAGAGAAGTCAAATCTGGGAACAGCCACTTCCCCTTTCCAGGACAGCCTAAGCAGGGGCAGTCAGGCCAGTCCTGGAAATCCCAGGACAGTGTGGACTAAGGCGACTGTGACTTCCGTTCCCAGGTGAGGTGGCTAGGGAGCTGTTGAAGGAACAGCATCAAGAAGGGTGAGGAGAGTATGGTTCTGTTTCACTGCAGCCCAGAAGAGTCAGGGGACTCCCCAGAGAATAAATACTTCCCTTCACATAATCCCTGTCACCAAAACTGTCACCTCCAAATTAGCTGCCTTATTTCCAAAGTCAGTGGAATTATTGTATATCATCAGAGTCCCCAAAGTATTACTTTATTGTCTCTTTAGTTTAGGAAGGTAGGACTCAAGTCCTGTGTAGTAGATAGAGGTACACAAATGCAAGAATTTTTTTTTATTCCAGATTTGGGGTTATTTTGAATGGCATGCTTCAAATAGTTTATAAAAATCCCTGCACTAAATTTTTGAACCACTTCTTCAAACTTCTTAATATATTTAGACAAGGAGAACAAAAATTAAAACCAAAGCCCTTTCAGTTATTTTTCTAAATGAAGATAGAGAAATATCATATTGGGTTTTTTTGTGAAAGTACTGCTTGTTTTAATCAATATTTGCCAAGTGCACACTGACACTTAAGAAGAAATTGTCTGCCACGGTTCTTACACTTGCCCTGTTCACCTTAACTGAATATTGAATTAAGTATATTACTTTATTTACTTGACATGCTATACATCTCCTCGACCTTGGAGCAAAAGCAATATAAAATGGTGGAAAAACAGTGTGATACCATTTACCATTTCATTTTAAAGTCCTGGAAACTAATTGGGGTTTTCATGGGGTTTTTAATGCAGGCCAATTAAGCTGAGACCTCCTCCAGTCTCCAGAAATGAAACAAAATAGTCACTTTTCCTAAAAATCTAGAAATAGGCTGTCAAAATACACACCTTTCTTTCTTCCTTTCTTTCCTTCCCTTTCTGTTCCTTTTCTTTTTTTTTTTTCTTTTTTTGGCTTAAGTTCAGTGCTAGAACTAAGCATTCACGCTAGTTTGTTTGAATTTTGTAGCTGAATTTTCCATGGGCTCTCAAAGCTAAATCAAGAATTGGCCTCTGTTGCTTCTATTGAAGTTTCAGTGACCCAGGCTGGGTGTTTTTGTCTTGGTTGCGTGTTTAATAGCACTAGAATTTCATATAAAGCTTCAAAATTTGATATTTATTGAGGCCTTTTTTCCTATCTCTCTTCTTTTTTGCTGTGTGTAACAAAGGGTTGAAGAAATTGCCATTTTTGTCACTTTCAGTAGCTGTGAAGTGTGTATTACTTTGCCCTCACCCCTGACATAGTTTAAAATGATAAACACAGCTGTAATTTTTAGTTAAGTAAGAGTTAATATGGAATAGATGTGGAAAGCTTTATAGCTTCATTAAAAAGATAAACCACTACCTGACTGTGGTTGGTTGTATGTTGTGTCGTTGCCATCATACTAACTAGATTAATGGATATGCTAGTTTTGAACTTGGGCCTTACACTTGAGGAGTTAAACTGTGGTTCATTTTTTAAACTGCCAGTGTTACGTGTCTGCTGTGCGGTGTGCCAAGTAAAGGTTCTGTCTGTATCAGGAAGATATTTGCAGTGCTTCTGGTCTTGTAACGATTCAGCTATAGTGTAGTTCTTGAGAGAATGTGTATATATTATCTGCTAAAGAGAGGAAGTTAATGGATATATCACAGGAGCCAAGCATTTTTTTCAGAACTTGAAAACCAAAGGTCATCATGAGTATACTCAAAGTTAGCAAAAGTTAATTACATCTGGAATTTCCGTCTATAGCAATGTGAAGAACCCTCTAGAATTATAAATCATGGCATTAAATTAGGCTGAAATCTGTTTCTTGAATGTACACTACATAGCAACACTAGTAATTTGGGACTCCTGTGAAATGGCCCCTATGCTTTCCAAACCACTTGGAAGAAAGAACCAGACATCTCCACAGCTTTACCTCTAAATCATAGGGCTTCTCTAGACCTGAGGGTTCAGTTTACCTGTGACCAACTGGTACTTAGGCATAATAAAGTGCCCTGGACACTTTTCTCCTTGTACTTGACCTTCACTTTTCCCCATATTGCTAGTCTAGAATAAAAATAACTTCAACACTTACCTTTGACCCCACCATTTTTCTTCTTCATCTTGAGCTTTTAGAAAGAATGTAGATACCTCTCCATTTTCACATCACCACCAGAACTGGATTTAGGCCTTATCCATTCTCTGCTCAGAAGATTCTGCCACTTGTTCAACAGATGACAGCATGGTACCTAGAGTTTTAATTCTATGCAAAGTAGTAGCAGTACACCCAGGATTCTTATTTGCTTTTTTTTTTTTTTTGGTACCCGGGATCAAACTTGGGTCCTTGTGCTTGCGAGGCAGGCAGCTGAACCGCTGAGCTAAATCCCCGGCCCTCTTATTTGCTTTTCTTTCTTGGTGTTTAGAATGTCCAGCTGTTCAAGCAACATAAGTAGAATAAACAATATTAGGATGTTTCATGAAATAGCATCCTTGTACTCCTTTGAGCTTGATGTTAATAGCTAGACTAATTTTCTTTGCTCTCAAAATAGCAAAGTGCATTGAAATATGCACAAAATGCTTGAATATGGCAAGCAAATAAAGTCATACAGATTAACATTCTATTATCATAGGAATTATACAAAAAAACAACATTTTTGTTAATGCTGGAAAACAGCATTCAAATGCAATAAGTTGTCTAGGTTTCTCCCTATTTCAGTGTATTTCCCAATTGCATGAAAAGTCATTGGATAATGCTTCCTCTCTCTTTTGAAACGTGCACTATTGGGATTCCTATAAATGACCTTACAAACAGAAACATCTTTCCTCTCTAGCACATGCAGATCCTATTTGTGTGATGTCTGATAAACAGCCTTCTTACTGTGTTTTCTGTCAGGCTAATTGTCTTGCACAGAGCTATAGACTTTAGTCATTCAGCAGATATCCAAAATTGACATTAAAATAGGGTTCCGTGTACCTGAAATTGAAGACTGAAATTAAGTTTGTTAAATGACAGAGAAATGAAAGTATTTGAACTATTGTTAGACACGTGTAGCATATTAAAAGGAAATCTGTTCAAAATACACCACCTGGAAACTCTTTTCAGGCTATTTGTGCATTTTACAATTGATAGACAATTAAAATTTTTCAGCTTAAGAAAGCCTTAACTATGACAGGAACTTTTTAACCTTTTATATTCTAATAAATGAATCATTGAATTCTATTTCTTAGTGTTTGAAAGGTGTCAGTGAGTTGGCATGTCTCCATGTATTTTCATACTTGTTAAGCTTATATTATGAGGGTATATTTCATAAGTTACTCTTCCTCACTTACAACAGAACTGATGTAATCAATCCATTCCAATTTCTCCATATTTGAAATTGCTCAGCAACCAGAGTTTTGGTTGGGAAAATTGTTTAGAACAATCTCAAAGCCTGTAAAGTTGTGTATGTGTGCATACAGTAACTGTGATACTGTGTAGAATTTGAGTTGCTATGTAAGCTGTTTTTAATCATTTTAAATTACACACTATGAGGTATTAAAGTGAGAATCTGTAGGAAGCTGAAGACTTTATGTACTCTAAAGCCAGACGCAGTCATGGTATGACTGGCTTTACACTTCTGCCCCGGGTTCTGCCTCCTGTGAAATAACACTAGAATTTTGGAGACATCACATCTTGACTCCTCATTCTTTCCCCTTCTCTTTTCTACTTTACACTGCACATCTCCACACTCCATACCTCCATCCTTTGAGAGAATTTTCTCTCATCCTCCAGAATTCAGATGGCTTTATTTTTATCTGTCTGCTCATATCTGTAGGCAACCCTGAATGCCCTTTATGGATCCAGAGAAAAACTGTAAACCCTGGTAGCAGGGAAGTCCCTCACACACCCTCCTGCTTCTCCTAAAGTTCAGGAGGAAAAGCTAGGAAACACCACAGTGAAAAAAAGTTAGAAAGCAACCAAAATCTTTGAGGCTGACAGCTTAGACTTAGGAGGTGACCTGGACCTTACAGTCATCGTATTCATTAAAAAAACTTGTGTGCATATACTCCTTCTCCCATTGTACTAAGCTCATCCTATGTTTGTGGTAGTATTTATCTTTGATACCTACATAACTAAAAAGGTACTTTGGTGAACAAAATTTCTTAAAACATTTCCAAAACCAACTTTGAGGAAATCTAGAATGTTTTCTGGCAGCAGCATTTGGAGTAGTAATTGTATTTTCTCATTGTGATACTAGTCTGTGTAAGTAACCAATGTAGTGAGACCCTTTGGTTTGTTATTGATTTCATTTTTATTCTCTGTGTGACCCACCAGTGTCAGGGGTTTCCAACCTCTATGTCTTTCTTTTTCACATTTGTCTATTTGTAGGATTGTCAGATAAATACATGATGCCAAGTTAAATTTGAATTTTAGACAAGCAGTTTCTCAGCTTAAGTATGTTTCCTACAATATTTGATATTCTTACAGTTAAAAGAAAGTGTTCATTATCTGAAATTAAAGTTTAACTGAGCATCTTGATTTTTTTTTCTCTTTTTTGGCACTTTGTTTTTCTTTTCTCAATCTGGAAAATCTACTGATTTGGTCACAGAAAGTCACTTGCAGCATGCAAATTCTTCTAGTCTTCATTATTTCTCACCTGGAACAGAAGCTCCTTTTTTCCACTCTGCTTATTTCCAAAAGAGGGCATCAATGAACTCTGACCTGCCTCCATGGTAGGTTTCTATTTAATAAAACATCTTTGTGATTATATTTAACCTGTAATTGTGCTTTGGCTTAATGTCTAACTTACAGTACTTGTAATTGATTAATATTCAATAAAAACATTTTTAAAGTACAGTGTGTGGGTAGCAGTTAGCTCTTTAGAGTCTTCATTTTGCCCAGTTTGTTCATTTCATCCTGACCAGCCTCAACACGACTGACCTAAAACTGTCAGAATTCACAACAGCTCTTCTTCTCCCTTTTCCTAGTGAGATCCAGGTTTGAAGTGTTTCTTTCTCACCTCTGAGACCACATGGCAATAGCAGAAGTGCAACAGATGCAGGAGAAACAGGTGCCATTTAGAAACAGCTCTAAAACAGGCCATGGGCTCTGGAGTCAGACTCAGGTTTCCAAGGGAAGCTCATAGGCCACCCATGTCACTGCCCAGAGACTCATGCTGTCCACTCTCTCATTGGAGGAGAAAAGGAGGAGAATATCATTAGCACAGTGCCTGCCCAGAGAACAAAGGACATTTTTCCATTTCTACCCCATTCCTTTTGCCACACCCAGTGATTCATTACATGACAAATTCAGAACTAGACTTTTAGCAATAACTTCCTTACCAGAGGGATTGTCAGAGTCAAAAGGAGACCTAGCAACTAAGTACTTGGAAGCATTCAGTAACCCTGCAAATAATGGTAGCTGCCATCAAGCTTATGAGATGAACTGGGTACATTGTCTACACTGTCACCAGTAATCCCAACGACCCTATAAAATTGGTCTTTTAATCCTCATTCTACAGATGAAGAAACAAATTTGGAGTGGTAAAATAATTTATATCAGAATTCTTTCCATCGTATGACTGAGTACCAGTTGCTATATACCAATCCCTGACTGTACAGAGTTGTGCTGTGTAAGTAAAGATGAAGAGTTGACACCACTGTGGTTTCATCATCAGTGACTCTGGAGAAGATCAGATCGTAAATGCCATTAGACTTCAGTGCTCCCCTTTAGCTGTTGTTGTGTATCTGAGTTGTGCACCAAAATGAAGTGGGATATAAAATAACAGCCTAGAATTTCAACAACTTGGTTTGCTTTGTGATACAGGAGCATCCCTGGTTTTATAATCTGAACCGTTCACTGGCACCATGATGAAGGAGGTGCTATAAATTACTTGCAGCAACTGAATATTTTATAAAGGAAATTACTTGGAAGAAAAGTCAATATAAAAGGCTGGATGTTTCTTGGGCAGCAATTTCTGAAGAGCTATTACAGTTTCATTGCCTGTGATGTTTGGTGATTGTGACCCGGTGACTCAGGTGAGAGGCAGCCTGCCCTGTTTATAGTTAGCACTTGTATAGTATCACTTAGCTTGGTTCACTCCTGATTTTATCATCATAAGATGGTACAAAAAGTCTCCATGCTAAAGGAGGACCCAGTTCTACATTGAAAATAAGACAGAGATCATTGTCTCCTATCAAACGAACCTAACTGCCAGATTTTTTGGTTGGCATCTGCTCTAAGTCTATGCATGTTGGTGAACTTTTTAGAGCTTTCAGTGATACAACAGCCCACTGCAGCACACGTGCCATAGGTTCACCACCACTGGCCTAGACACAGAAAAAGCAGAAGAATACTTTCCACTGGGGTGGGGTGTATGTCTTCATTTTTGACCAATTTCCACCTATCCTATAGTGCTGATAAAATAGCTTCAAATAAGTAAGACAATAGGTCACATGTTTATTTTATTAATATGATTCTCGACATACGGTATTTTTCCTAGCCTACAAGTGATTCATGAAGTAAGTCTGTTCATCCCTACTTTCATAATTCTGCTTACAAATCAGCCAAATGTAGAGCATAAAGTACAAAGTAACCCTGGATAAGTCATTGGGAGCATGTAGAGGCTAAAGTTCAATATCTTGCTCTGGATGATGGTTACATGACACAGGTGTGTACATATATACAATTCACCGAGCTCTAAAGATTTACACATTTGAAGTTTTTGCCTCACTTTAAAAAAATAAAGGGCAGGGATCTAAAAAGTTGATCAGACGCCTGCTGCGCAAGCGCAAGGACCCGAGTTCGATCCCCAGTACCAAAAAAAAAAGTTGATCAGAAACTCTAAATATGTGAGTGAGGCCTGACAGTTCTGGCCTCATTGGACTGTTGGTAGGAATCTCCTGATGTTGATATGTTTTGGAACATTTTGGCAGGTTATTTGGTGGATAGCCACAGTCTAATGTTTTGTGGAGAGGCAAAAGACCCAGAAGAGCAACAGAGTTTTAAAGGAGAAAACAAAGTTAGAATGCTGACCTGGCCGAGCTGCAAGACTTGCTAAAAAGGTACAGTAATTGAGACAATATGGCATTGGGGAAAGGGTACTCGTATTTGATCAATAGAAGATTTATTTCTGGGAAAGCCCAGAAATAAACCCACACAAATACAATCAATTGATCTTTAACAAAGGACCACAGGTGATACAATGGAACAAAGATAGTGTTTTCAAATGGTTCTGGACATCCACTTGAAAAAAAAAGAATCTACATTCAAACAAAAAAAAGAATTTGTGTACTTCACAAAAATTAACTGAAACTACATCATAGGTCTAATTGCAGAACACAAAACTGAAACTCCTAGAAGGTAATAGGAAAAAAATCAAGATGACCTTCGGTATGTCAAAGAATTTCTGAGATATAATACCAAAGGCACAATCCAGGAAAGAATAAGCTAAGCTTCATTAAAATTTAGAACTTATACTCTGTGGAGAAGATTATCAAGTGAATAAGACAAGCTACCAACCAGAAGAAAGTGTTTTTAAAGGATACATCTGATAAAGAACTATTATCCAAGATACACAAAGAACATATAAAACATAACTGAGACGATGAACAACCTCAGTAAAAAGACAAGAGACCCCGAGCAGACACCTCACTAAAGAACATAATAGAGGGCAAAGAAGCAGAGCAAAATGTGGTCAGCACCATAGGTCATCTGGGAAATGCAAATTAAAGTAGCAATGGCATGGGACCACACACCTATTTGGATGGCCCAAATCCAGAACACTGGTAAGGTCAAATGCTCATGAGGGTGTAGAATATGGGAACTCTTATTTATTCCTGGTGGGAATGAAAAATGGTACAGGCAACTTTGGAAAAGAGTTTCTTACAAAAACAAACATTCTAACCATATGATCCTGTAATCATGCTCCTTAGTATTTACTCCAATAAACTGAAAACATGTTCACACAATAACCTGCATACAAATGATCATAGAAGCTTTATTCATAATTACCAAAACTTGGAAACTTGGAAGTCAGCAAGATGTCCTGTAGTTAAAAAAAGAAAAAAAAAAAAATGGATGAACTGGGACATCCAGACAATGGGATATTGTTCTGCACTACAAAGAAATGAGCTATTGAACCATGAAAAAACATGCAAAAAGTAAGTACATTCGCATATTACTAAGTAAAAGAAGTCAATATGAAAAGGCTACCTGCTGTCTGATCTCAACTGTATGACATTTAGCTGGGTATGATGGTGCACACCTGTGATCCCAGCACTCATGAGGCTGAAGCAGGAGGACCACTGCAAGTTCAAGGCCAGCCTGGGCTACATAGTAAGTTCAAAGCGAGCCTGAACTACATAGGGAGACCCTGTCTCAAAACAAACCAAACCCCAACTATATGACATTTTGAAAAAGGCAAAATATAGAGACAGAAGTTCAGAGGGTGTGAATAAGCATGTAAACCGGACACTGTTAGGGCAGAGTCTCTGGTTGTGACAAGTGCCCCACTGTGGTGGAGGTGCTGATGTTCAGGGTGACTGATGGAGGAGATGTGGGTATGAGAACCTTCTGTGCTTCCTGCTCCATTTTGTTGTGAACCTAAAACTATGCTAAAAAAGTTTTCTTTTTACCTGTGACTTATTTATTTAGAGACAGGATCTCGCTCTGTTGCCTAGACCATCCCCAAACTCCTGGCTTCAAGTGATCCTCCTGCCTCAGTCTCCCAGATAGACTTCAAGCATGCTGCTGTGCCCAGCCGGGTTTCTTTGTTCTTTAAGAGAAATAAGGATAGAAAGGCATGTATATATGTGCAGGTGTGAAGAGCTCTTATCCACCTACCCAATAAAAGCCCAGGCTTCAGTCTGCTGCACGGGGCAGCCCAGCTGCTCATCCCTGAACCTTGCCCAGTGGCTAAGGGTGTGGGGTGAGTACATTTAATTTAGGCCTGAGTCACAGCCCAAACTTGGATATTGGGAGCTTCCCCTGATGCACAGGAGGGATTGGATGTATCTGTGAGTCAAAGCGGCACGCTGTTATTGAAAGGTGAGTTGCTACTCACTGAGCAGCCAAGTCAGCAGAGGAACACTGGCTCATAGCTCCTTGAAGTCCAATTCAGTAGCTTTCCACTGAACTTCTGACAAGTAGGAACCAGTTCCTTAGTGGCTCCTCTAGTCAGGCAGCTGCCCAATGTCACAAGTGACCTGAGCTCCATTTTCAGGAAAGCATCATGGCTCCCTCTTTCTGGGCTGACTCTGAAATTCCTGGGACTCAGATGAACCTTTTGTGAATTCCAAAAGAAAAAGTACTGATCCCCTGGGCCCATAGGTCCTGGGGCTAGAAAAATCTGTTAGGAAGCAAACCATTAGGACTCTCTGGATATCAAGGGTGAAAAACAGCTTTTCTCTGAAATCCTCTCCTGGGGTACTTGTTAGGGAAACTGACCCTTTTACTTCATTACTATCCTTTTGTCTTCTCAGTGCCTTTCCCTCTCCTCTATCCCCTTGCTAGCTACCCTCTCTCCCAGGGAAGAGAAACAGACTGTCCAGCTGTCAAGAACTGAAAACATCCATTGCACCACTGGACTACATTTTTGCCATTGTTCCTCTGCCTCAAGACTGGCATATTTGTCTTGTTCTTTCTTCTGTAACAGTCTGTACCTCCCCCTGCAACAGGAAAGTTAATGTGGGATTTGCTCTTTAGATGCAGATCTCTTGGGTTCATGGGGTAATACGTCAGAGATCTTATCAAAGAACCCATCACTGAGAGGGAGAGCTATTTCCCATTGTGATGTATGGCACTCTTTTGAACATCCGTGGATGAAAGTCCAAGTCTAAACTTCCCCACACTCATAGCACCAGGTGTGACCTCGTAGAAGCAAAGGAAAATGTTATAGTGGGGGCAGCTTGTAGAGATGCATCTGTCTTACCCAGCACCCTTAGGCTCCCCTTATCTGCCTGCCCCAATCTGGCAGGGAGATACTGAGTTGCAGTGACTCTGAACTACAGTGTGGGGAGGTCCAGTATATATAGTATTGTCCTAGCTAATTGTTCTCCATATCACGTACTTAGCTGGGTGGATGTACAAAGGACACAACAGCAGAGTTGAGGTGAGCTCAGTAAATTAGTGGGTACTTCATACCCTCCTCGCCTCCACTTCCTTCTTCCATGGTGCTTTTATTGCTTTCTACTTTCCTGTATTTCTTTAGGGATAGGTTTGTCTTGTGATGTTTCTAGGTTAGACGGAGTCAGTACCTAATAAGCAGGCATCATGCATGTTGGCTGAAAACTTGGGTTCAAATCTGGACTCCTCCACCAAGCACCTGTGATCCTAGCCAAGTTAATCTTCCTTTGCCTCACTGTCCTCAGCTATAAAATGGAGATGTTGGGAAGGTAAGTTAATATAAAGGACTTAGAATGCCCTTGATAACTATTAGCTATTGTTTATTATCTTGCAAGCCTACTCCAGGGAAGGGGCGATGGGTGCCTATAGTGCTCTGTTGAGCTTGGTGACATACATGAGCTCAGAAGGAAATAAGACTGTAGTTGATGAGTAATGTCTGTTGTGGGAGTGGGAGTAATCAGCAGCAGCATGAATGCCATATGTGACCACCCCTAATATGGAGAAAGAGCTGAATCCTGATGTCCTTGATTTGATGCACTTTTATTAGGTTATAGGAAGAAAGGCAAGATCCTTGCCATTGACAGGTGGAACACATCCAGATCCATCTGGGAACTTTTAAAGACCACTCCAAGGCACCAAAACCCTATCAGAAATTTTGGTTCTTGGATGAGATCTCAGATGACAAGTATCTGTGGATTGAGGATTAAAAATTGCATTTTCAAGTTTTCTAAGTAACTGTTTATTAGCATGGTGTTTTTTTTAAATGGCTGCAAAATGTTTTGACATTGTTTCCTACAAGAGACAGGGTCTCCTCCCATTTGAATCAGAGGAGGCTTAGAACTCTTCCATATAGTAAAGAGCAAGTACATCCAGGGGCTTTTGGAGATGAGACCATAACGGGGAGTAGCTTTCACCTGTTCACTAGAATGCTCGCTCTGAGCTGTCATGTGAGAAATCTCACCACCCTGAGCCCGCCGTCCTGAGGAGAGCACTATCAGGAGCTCAAGTTGCCAGTCACAGCTGAACTGTCCACTGGCCAGCACCAACTGCCAGGCAGAGCCCGGAGCCAACTCCTAACTGGCAACCTCATATGCAAAGCAAAACAATTGTTAGTTTATATAACTAAGTTCTTGGATAAAAGATTATTCAGTGGTAGTAGTTATGGTTTGTGGATTGTCACGCCAGAACAGGTTAGAAAGGAAAGGGAACAGGATAAACAGGCACTTGTGGAATGAAAGCTGTAAATCAAAATCACAGCAGGAATGTATAGCATCTCTTACATGGATGTACATGGCCCCATGAATGTCTGTTTCAAGAAATAATCTGTAAAAATGTTAAACTATCCTATCACAATAGTGGTACAGTGCAAAAAGACTTGTCTCTCCCCTCTTGCCAAGGTGTAAATGTGTCTCCCAAAGTTCATGTTTTGGAAATATAATCCTCAATGCAACTGAGAAGTAGAGCCTTTAGGCAATTAGGTTAGGAGGACTTTGCCCTCAGGAATTGTTTTAATGTCCTCTTTGCATATGAAGAGTGAGGTTCACCCCTCCCCCTTTTTGAGGCAGGGTCTCACTGTATTTCATGCTGGCCTTGAACTATGTAGCACAGGCTGGCCTCAAACTCAGTGCTCTTTCTGCCTCAGCTCCCCCTCCTAAGTGCTGGGATTACAGGCCTGTGCCACCAAGCCCAGCAACCCCTCTGCCTGTTATCTCACACTGTCAAGCTTTCCTGCCCGTCTGCCTTTGGGGGGGGGGGGTACCGGGATCAAACTCAGGCCCTTGCGCCTGTGCAGGCCGTGAAACCACTGAGCTAAATCCCCAGCCCTGCCCATCTGCCTTTTGCCATGGGATGCTGAGGCAAGAAAGTCCTCACCTAGGACTTCCCACCCACTAGAACTGTAAGAAATGATTCTCTGCTCTTTATCCTCTGCGGAATTGTCACTGTAACCCAAGACTAAGACAGCTCCTACCTTGTGATTCCCTCCCCTATTTTTTCAGTTCCCTGCATTCATATTTCTTCAAGTGAAATCAGAATTATGTTCCATGTTCCCCCTAAAATTCTGTTGGTCTGTTGAGATTTCATTAAATGTACAGGTTAAATTTGGAGAAATCGTTATCTTTTCAATAGGTCTTCTTGGGCCAGGGATTTAGCTCAGTGGTTCTGGCACCTGCCTCGAAATTGCAAGGTCCCGAGTTCGATCCCAGGTACCAAAAAACCGAACAAATAGTAGGCCTTCTTACCCAAGAACAAAGGCTGTCCCTTCACCTTTCCCATGTCCACATAAGTCCATGGCCAGGGCTCTAGCAAGTACATGTCTTTATTTCCACTGAATTTGATTGTAGGCATTTAAAACTGTCATTGTAAATGGGTTTCCTACTATTCCTATTTTAATTGGTATATTCATATAGAAAAGTTACTATTTTCCCATATTAACTTAAAAATTTACCACTTACTGAATTATTTCTGGTTTTTCAGCTGATTCCCTTGTTTTCCAGACACATTATTTCCAGATAACTTGGTCTCCCACTTTCGAAGCTGAATACCTCATTTCTTTCACTTACTAATCACCTTGCCCAGTGCTCCCAGAATAATGGTAAATAATTATGATACAGTGAGAATGTGTGTTTAGTAGTCAAGTTTTTGGTTTATGATTTTGGAAATTTATAGCAATAGAATTTGATACAAATGATCCACAGATCAGCACTGGGGAAGCCATGGTTTATATAACCTTCAGTAATTTCTCCTACCTGCCCTTGAAGTATACAGTTTATTCCATGATCCTGATGGAATACAAAGCCAATAACATTTCCTCAGATTGTGAGGGCCAGGCTGGACTCCTTGGGTGGGAATTCCTTATACAAGTGCTGTCACAGCCTGATCATTTTGTGCTCATGCTAAACCTGACCTGTCCCACTGAGGAGCCGCCCTTATCTCTCTCTGCATCCTGTGCTCAGCACACCTTAGAACCTCAGTCCAGTGGGCTCAGGGCTCCCTGGCCAGTCTCCACTGTAGATGATAAGCTGGTGGAGTTACATGATGGAATTACCAGGTTTTCTTTCCTCCCCTTCTGTGTCATCATAGCAGGTCTCTTTTAAAGGAGAGCTTAAACCAAGGCACAAGTGGTGGAAAATGTATTTATTTTTCTTCAAATGATCTTTTTCAAGCAATAAATAAAAACAGACATGTTGACTTTTCTAAAAACAACAAAAAAATCCCCTAAACTATATACATCCTACAGAATTACAGGTGTAAGAAATGTAGAAATGACACCACTCTACAAGATGGGGCTATTTACAAGTATTCCATTGCTGTCTTTATGAAGTCTCTTCATGAATGACTCAAACTCAAAGGCAGGGTACTCTGGAGGACAACCTTCAGGACAGACTCCATTTTTCTTGATAGACATGAAGATTTCAAGGAAAAACATCAGTATCTACACACTGCATTGAGTCTGCTAACAGCACTCCACAGCCCAGCTGGCTGCAAACGGCAGAGGGAATTCACTGAGCCAGGGACAAAACTCTGGCTGTGGCTTCAGGGAGACCCAGCCTCCAGCATCACCTTGCCATCCACAAGGAACGGCGGTCTTCCACACCTGGCTGCCCCTGGACAGCACCTGGGAACTTTGAAACATCCTCATGCCTGGGTAACACCGTTAGGAATTCTGCTTTACTTGGTCAGAAACGGCCTGGGTATTAGGATTTCGAAAGTTCCTCAGGTGATTCTGATAGCCAAGATAAACCACTGCTTCACTACTTCAGGCTTTGTTCCTTCCCCTTCCACTTGGAATCTGCCATCCTACTCCAAACCTACACCTTCCCAAGGGGTTAATATATTTTCTCATTGCTTCCTGACTTGAAAATGGGGCACCTGAGCTCAATGGCCTCAGGAAGGAAGGAATGAAGCTGGAAACTGCTCACCAGTGCTTCAGCCTTATATTGCTCTGTGGGGGAGTCCAGTCCATTCCTGTGACTCCTCCACAAACACCCAAGAGTCAAACAAGATCCTGGGAGGGAGTCAGCAGCATTCCTCATTATCTACAGTAAATACCCAATAAGCCTTTTGTGGTCAACAGCAAAGCTGCTAATCAGCATGGCAGTACTTTTGGCTATTACAGAAATTCACCAGCACCAGAAACTGCTTCATGGGAGGAACGGCTGCTTATCGAAACCCACTGGCCATTTAGACTGGCCCTATGGTAGTGTCTTCATCAGAGTAGTTCCAAGTCATCAAAGAGACTTCTGGTGGGAGATCAACAATAGAAACAGTTCCCTTGTTCAATCAAGCCAATGGCCTATTTTATTTCGAAGAGTCATGCTATTATCAAGTACAAAGAAAACAACTTTATAAATAGCTACTTGACACTGTGATAGAAGACTTCATTTGGGAAGCAGAGAAAGACATCTAGAGCTAATCCTGAGTTCCTACTATCCATGTAGTTGGGATCCAGTCTAAAAAAGGAGGACTGATTTGGCAAATGTACACTCATTGTATCAAAAGTGAGTCTATTCTGGGGGCCACCTGCCCCTCCTTGCTGGAGCCCCTCTGCCCTGCCCGTCTGTTCTTGGGACCAATGCCTTTTTCAGTGCAGAATTCACTTGCCTCATTCTTCACCAGACATGAAGTAACTTCCAGGAACAAAGGAAAAAGTGGCAATGTCCAAGTGTATTTATCTCTAAATGAGTCCGCCATCCGGGAACTTCAACCCCTTCCTGCCTCCCTATCAACTCTTTAGCCAAGCAGCTCCCAGAGAAAAAGGGCACCTCTGTTTTTTCTAAAAACAGGAAGTGAGAACTCTGGCCTCTCCCCAAGGAAGGGCTGCAGGCAGGCAGGAAGAATGATGTCGACACAGGTTCACAGAAAGAGACGTAATGAACCCGGGCCTGTCTGCAATGCCCAATGAGAAAGAACATTTCCACACAATTGTGACATTGAGGCTTGAGGTTACTTATGGGTGAGCAAGAATGTTCACCCATTCTTGAGAGCTAGACTCTCAAGGGGCTTTAAAAAATGCTCTCATTTCTAGACAAGTTTGCAATGACCTTTAATCCATAACAACACTGTTCCACAATACTACAAATGAAGTAACAAGTAGCTTCTGCCCTTCCCTCAAACCCTCCCCCCAGAAAAATGTCCTTTTCCTTCTAAAGCCATTCTCCCATTCCTTCATTTGGAAAGGCCCCTTAAAATCCCATTAGCCCAACTAAGGATTCAAAATGGTGCCCAAGTAACCATGATGCACTTCTCAGGAGCCAGCAGCTAGCCTTGGAGTCTGCCCCCACCTTGAAAGGGCCCTCTTGTCCTTCTAAACTTCAAGGAGACCGGAAATGTGGCATCCACTCCCCTCTTTATTCAAAAGAGGAAGGGCCTTTCAAAAATTCACCAAACTAGAATTTAATAACACAAGAATTTGTTGGTATACTTCATTTCAAATAAACCTCTTTAAATTAAAAACTTTGATTAATGTAAAAGACAGTATTTCAACTTACAAAAGGATTCATTTCAGGTATTGCTAGTGATCTAGTTTCCCCCACAGCCTTGCCAAATGATTTTGCTACAGGAAAATCTGAAGTGCACCCCAATTTTCCAGGAGCACCTTATATATAATATGGCATTTACCACAGACCACAAATGAGCCCTAGGCAGGTCTATGAAAAAAAATGCTCCAACCATCAAATGGATTATTGGAGAGAACAAGTTCTATGGTTATGGTCCATGTGCCCAGGAACCAGCCGCAAAAATAACTAAAAAGTAGTCCTCTCCTTCCTTTCCCCTCCCACCCCAACCTGCCTGCTGCTCAGTGGCGCCAAATGGACAGTGACCATGCAGACTACCACAGACCTACACAACACCATTTATCCCTCACTGTTTAGACCCCTTCATGCTCTTGTTCTCTGGTATTTGACATCAACATAAGTATATTCTAAATTCACTGTCACTAGGCTCCTTGTACTTACATACTCTGAGGAAATTCACAATAAATATTTTTATTTATTATTAAGCATAATTACTCACCTGTCGGTGAATAATTAGCAATGAAAACCATATTCTAGGATTCTTTTTAAAAAACAAAATTCCCGTGACTACAACAAAAGGACAAGCAGACAGAACCAGGCACTTCTGGCAAACTCATTTTCTTTGTCTCCCTTCCCCTTCCTCCCTCCCGCCTAATGAACTTGTTGGGCACGCTTGCCAGGGTCTGTGGGTTTCAGAACTTCAAGCCTTTCTGCTTAAAAAAATGAGGTAAGAAATTTCTACCTGAAAAGTAAAACTGACACATAAATCAATCCAAGGTCTTCCCTGGCCACTAATGCAGCCATTATTGCTCTAAATTGGAGTGTTTTGTTTGCTTTTAATGTGTGTTCAAAGTCCTTATTGCCATTCTAGCTGGCCCGTGGTTGGTTGGCCAAGGAGAAATGGATGGGAACAGGGCTTAGTCAGCTGCCCCAGCTGGTCCGTCCCTATCTGCTTCCCACACGTGTGGCTCACCCAGCCCTGGCTGGGGCCAACTCTGCATTCTGGGGCTCTGTGACTGGTTCTAACAGTGGTTCTAACAGCTGGGGGAGGTGGTGATGGGGCTGTGCAGGTACGGCAGGTTGCTGGGGGCCGAGTGCACACCCACAGACACTGGGAAGCTGAAGACGAACTGTGAGGTCGGGGTGGGGGTGGCTTTGCCCCGTTCCCGAAGGGGGCCGGAAGGGCTGGCAGCCTCCGCGGCACAGGACGTGGCCAGCACCTGGGACTCAAACTGCAGCAGCTGCCCCATGAAGCTGAAGTTGGGAGAGATGATGCTCCGGCGCTGCTTAACGAACTCAAAGGCCTCCTCCAGCCTCACCCGCTTCTTCATCATCAGGTAGGCGAGGCAGATGGTGGCCGAGCGAGAGATGCCTGCCTGGCAGTGCACCAGCACCCGCCCACGGCAGTCCTTCACTGCATCTGGGACAGAGAATGAAGCACATTAGGGCAGTCCGCAGACTTCATCCTGCACCACGTGGCATAAGCCAGGATGGGACCTGGGGACTCCCGCTGATTAAACAGCCATGCCAGGCTGGGAGAGGGTTCAGAATTCCACCTACCCTGAGGTATTTTGGAGACTTAACCAAAAAAGCACTCTGCTTGGCAAAAACACATGCCAGAGCAATCAGACCCCACCATACAGAAAAACAGTAGTGACCCAATCATCTTCTTTCCCATGCCAACCTCTTAGCATCATCTGTTCATCTAGAGCCATTCATGGAAAAGAGCACAAGCTCTGTAAGCCAAGGTGGGGAAGGTGTCTGTCATCCTATTCCCACCCCACAGTACCCAGTGGGCAGGACTTCCTGCTGGGGAAGAGGCAAATGGGCAGACCCACAACATCGAGGTCCCAGTGCTCCCTCTCACTCCCCCTCAGCCTGCCATCCTCGGCCCCAGGAACCCAGGGCCAAGCCGGCCTACCGATGTATTCAATGGCTTCCATGAACCAGGAGCTGATGTCAGCCTTGTGGTTGTCTTCCACAGGGATGCACTTGTACTGGTAGTGTCCTTCAAAGTGGTTTGGGCAGTCCGAGGAGACATTCAACAGGGCTGTGATCCCCAGGGCATCCAGCATGTCTCTGCGGGCAGCATGATAAGCACTGCCGAGGTAGAGGAAGGGGAGGATCTCGACAGGACCTCCCTGTAACAGAAAAGAGACAAAGGCCCGTAAACAACATGACTATAAGGTTTCCACGAAAAGGGCTGAAACACTGGAGACAGGGAGGGGAAGTCAGACCAGAGTGGAATTTCTATGTCCTGGAGAGATCCTGCTGAACATAGGATGCACACTGCTGCCTCTCTGCAGTTCTGCAGCTCTAATAGGAGTCTACACCTGCTGATCTGATCATCCCATCCAGTTTTTTGTTGTGTGATTTAGGGACTTATCTGTTTGGATATGTCCTCACTTAGCACATCAGAGACACATGGCTTAAAGTCATGATGAGATTCACTAGGCAGGTGCTGGACCCTGAAATTAACTCTCTGTCCATTAACTGGAAATGCTAGAAGGGCAGGCTTGGGAAAAATGCAGCAGCTTGAGAAGATTTCCTTAGGGGGAAGGTCGACCTTTTATAACCATTGGTATTGCAACTGACACCCATGTCGGGGGAAGCCTGCCTGCAGGGAGGACCAGGGACTCACCCCAAGGGGTGAACTCATAGCTTCCAGTATGGCAGGTCCTAGCTCATCCATTCATAACTGGAGACTAAGCCAGGGGGCAGTGTCTTTATATTTTTTCTTAAGTGACGGTAATAAAAGAAAGAAGGGAAACAATTGCAAAGAATAAACAACCCACGCCAGTACTCAAGGGTCACCACATTTTCCTCACATTGAAGCACTGTGTTTGAAGCCTTGGAAACATCTAAACTCTGAAAGGAAGGCTGCTCCATGTGTCCCTGCACTGTCCCTCCGCCCCTATCCCTGGCTCCCATGCTCCACACCCCAGGTCTACCTGGTCGTGCAGGGGAGTCCCACAGGAGCTGCAGCCCAGGTCCAAAGGTTCTGTGGCACTGGGGGGGATAGGAGGCGGGATGGCTGCCAGGGCCTTGGTTTTAGAACAGAATTCTGGGTACTCAGAGGAAAACCTCTCATAGCCACCTGTAAAGGAGAAAGAAACATAGGTTAACAAGGCCAGTAAACCAGCAGGAAGCCAAAAAGAACTGGAATTGTACCAGCTACAAAGAGCTGGTGGGGAAGGTGGGGAGCTGTCTGGCTCCATGTCTGCCACTAGGTGGTGCTGTGTGCCTAGCGATGAAGGTTGCAAGAGCGCTCCAAAGAGCAAGAGTCTGTGATTGGCCAGGACCTCAGATTGGGAAGACGCTGAGGAGTTCCGAAAAGCTTGAGGTGAGGGTTTAGAATTCCAGGTGGGACAAAGACACACAAAGAAACGTGTAGGGGACATCCCGAGGCACTCTTCAGGGCGGCTCCTCAGGCAGGAACCAGCCCTAGGCGTGGGGAGATGACCATCATTAATTACTCTTGGCTCCAGCTCTTCCTCTGGAAAGCATGTCCCTGAACTCAGGCCCTCTGGGTCTCAGAAATGGAGCAGATGCCAGGTGGCCAGCCGCATGCTTCTATATAAACCAGTCCTTCCCAGCACGTTCAGTTGCAGGGCAAGGAAAGATTTGTTGATCTGAGACTGCAAGCCCTGGAGTGGCTGGTGCTGGGATTATCCTCCAGGAAAGGAGGTTTTTGAAATCAAAAACATGAAGGGCCAACCCATCTGGGCCGGCGGCACCTCTGCCTGAGAGGAAGGCAGACAGAGCCCTCTCAGAGGACAAACACCCTGTGAGCCTCCGGTGTTCCATGATTTCCACAACTCTGTGGGTAGCTACCAATCAACTGTGGGAGTCTGGCCCTGCCTTTATTTATTTCGCCGTTTCTGTGGGACCAGAAGTTCTAGCAGTTCACAAGCATATTAGGCGGCAACCATCCTAACACAGTCCCATTCAGGTAACCTCCAGGGACAAGCTGGCCGGGGGTCCTAGGAGAGGCAGTGAGCTGGGTTAGCCTTTCTGACTATGTCACAAGGCCGCCAGCCCCAGGACTCTTCCAAGGAGCAGCACGTGACCACTAGCCAAGAACTCGCTCCCGATCCCAGCCCTAAAACACTGCATCCTGCTGGTGCTCCTGAGGGGAAGGAAAATTATTCTTTGCCACATCATAAGGCTTACAGAAACAGGGCGCCCATTTTTCTCCTCCACCCCCTCCCCTGGGATATAAATGGTATCTCTGTGGTCACAGGCCCTCCTTCCTGCTGAGTCACAGTGCCTCCCTGGGTGGAAAACCTGCTGGCCAACCAGTGCTGCCAGCCTCCGGTTCGCGTTGACCTTAGGGCCACCTCACCCCAAGAGCACCCCCAGTAGAACCCCACCTGACCCCTTCCATAGAAGGCTGCCAACACTGCTGCCTGAAGTGCAGACACCAGAGAGCGGGGGAAGACGGGGCTGAAAAATGTCTGTCTCCAAGTCCCTTGTGGGCCTCTGTGCCAGGAAGCCTCAGTCAATGCCTGCCACCTTTGGAGAAGGGAAGGGGCAATGGACTAATAAGACAAACTGTGGTGGAACATCTATGTCGATAGCCATCGCTGGTCATTCTCTATACTTCTATAGGACCTGAAAAACTTTAAACCAAAGGATCTTTGTGTCTATTACATAATCCAGACATAGCAAAACACACGGTAAAAAACAAAGGCAAAGTCTGCCAGTGGTATCCAGCCCAAGCTTCCCACCTAGAAGGCAGATAATTGTCCCACCCAGAAGTGAATGGTGGGCCTGGCACTGCCGGGGCAGGGTTGAAGATCAGAGTGGCTCAGAGCATGCTCTCCCCACTGTGAGGCGGGTCAGAACCAGACCTGGCTGAATTTCCAGAAAGGGCACAGGCCCTGCAGTCAAACTGTGACTCATCTGCTGTGCGGCCTTCACCCATGTCCAGCCTCTCTGAGCCTCCTCCTGGTCGGTAAAAAGTGATCCATCATCTTTCCTCCACAGAGTCCCTGGAAGACTGATTCTAACAGCCAGCGCTCTGCATCTGGCCTTGAGCAGACACTTAATGAAGACGTCCTTTCTCAGCACCTATGCTGAGATGTCCCTCAACAGAGCTCCTCAAAGACCCAAGAGGACCAAGGGGACCTTGTGAGTTACATTATCAACTTCCTAGCTTCCCCTCAGGCCTCTTCTCTGGGTCTGCCTGCTGGGCTCCCAGAAGTATGGACCCTGCAGTCAGAGGAAGGGCCAGTATCTCACTTTCTGACTCCGCCTTCCCTTTTAGGAATTCGCATCTGCCACCTCCGAGTCAATTAGCCAGCTTAGCAGAGCCTCCAGGAGGAATCCGAGGCAAGGCCAAATGGGCAGGGCTGGTGGCCCTGAGGTGGGGAAGATGTCTCCTGTGTCATATTCTCTCCCTCAGGTGGAGGGTTAACAGGACAGACAAGACTGCCTAGAAAAAACAGAGTGTAAAACAAGTGATTACTCCAAAGTCAGTTCCCTCTGGGGGGGGCCGTCAAAGAAACTAAGGGCTGAAGCAGCTTAGCCTGAGGGACAGGGGCACTGGCAAGTCCTTCTCCTGGAGAGCCCGCAGCACCTCCCCACCCTCAGCTGCTGCTAGCTTTGGGGCTCTGTGGCTGGATAAGAGGAGCCTGCAGGACAGGGAAGTCACGGTTATGGGGAACATGAGCACAGTGGGCGTTTACTCACGAGAGAGGGAAGAAGCCACTCAAGTCTACACCTCAAAAGGCCACAGCCCTGGAGCCATCTCTGGCTATCATCTATGTCGATAAAAATTATAGCCATTGTGGGCTGCCAGGCTGAGTTCTATCCCCAGCACTATGGGGAAAAATATAAAAAGGCATTGTGAAAAGGTAATGCTGATTGTACAGTGTACTTTCTACAAGTCCACCAGCCCCAGCATTTAGTTTAGGGCCTCGAAGCCGTACTTACACCCTGGCTGTGCCGGGCCCAACCCGCTGCTCTACCATCTCAGCCTTTCACCCCTAGCCATGGCCTCCTCCTGAAGGCACAGGCTGCTGGTGTCCCAAAGTGAAACACAGATGGAAATGGATCCCAACAGGACACCACTGACATTTCACAAACTCGGCTCTTATCACAGGGATTTCTTTCCAGCGAGGTCATCCAGGAGACATGACCAACATTTCTTTAAAAAAAGAAATACAATAGAATGGGAATTAGTAGAAAGCACTGTGTCTGAAGAGCATATCATTTCACGTCACTTTATTTCAGGAGTGCATGCATTTATCCCTCTGGGGATCATGATGGAAATCCAACACAGGGAATGTGTGTAGGAAGATTGCTGTCCCACTTCCCTCCACCCTCCTATCCATTCCCATGTTGACACAGTACAAGTATCACAGCCACAGCAGCTGGTTTTAGATCACATTTTATCCAAAGCTGATTTCCATCACATACTCTGCCCTATGTCTCCTACAGGTGTCCAAAAGCAGATAGAGACAGATCTGGGGACAAGCCCCAGTGCTAGTTGTAGAACAAGCACTTTCAGACATGTGCCCTTAAAATGATTTCCAGACTGTAATGATGTCTAAGTTTCAATACTGTGTGATTCTAAATGTCCACAATCTACTTATTTCCTGGTCAGTCTGGCCAGCTTCCAAGCAGCAGGTACAGTACCTAAAATCTGTGTTTCTATCTTGTGAATAAACTTTGCTAATAAATATGCTCATGAATTTTGACCTGCTTTTCCTGTCTTTAAGAATATACTTCCTATTCTTAAGTTTCTGAACTTCAAAATCCCGAAGGACAAAAAGGAATGATTTCGATGCAAAACTTATAGAAATAACTACACCTACATTTCAGCTCCCTAAGCTTTTCCTTTCCTCTTGCTCACACTCAGTAAGGCAATTTTCTAAGTTTAATAAACACACACCCAGCCACAAATCCGCTAGAACTGCTGACCCCTGGAAGGAACAGGAGATCATTAATGCAAAGTGTTTTACAAAGAGAAGGCTGATGAGTGCTGATAATGCAGCCATAATAGGACTTGCAATGGGCTCTGGGATGGATAAAACTGTCTTGTGCAGTTTATACAAGTAAATGATAATGCCAGTACAACATACAGGAATCTATGCTATGGGACACAATGAAAGCAGTTCTACGAGGAAATTCATAGCAGTGAATACCCATATTAGGAAAACAGAGAGAACTCAAATAAACAACCTAATGCAGAACCTCAAGCTCCTAGAAAATGAGCATAACAAACCCTAAACCTCATACAAGAAAGGAAATTATAAAGATCCGAGCAGAAATCAATGCAATGGAGACTAAGAGAACAATACAAAAAAAAAAAAATCAATAAATCAAAGAGTTGGTTTTTCAAAAGAATAAATAAAATCGATAAGTCTTTAGCCAACCTTATCAAAAAAAGGAAAGAAAAGGCTCAAATCCATGCAATTAAGAATGAAAAAGCAGGGGCCAGGGATTTAGCTCAGTAGTTTCAGCGCCTGCCACGCAAGCACAAGGTCCTGAGTTCGATACCTGGTACCAAAAAAAAAAGAACGAAAAAGCTAAAGTCACAACAGATGGAACAAATCCAGAGGATCATCAATACCTACTTCAAGAACCTGTACTCTAATAAAATGGAAAACACAGAAGAAATGGACAGATACCTAGATACATACAAATTACCAAAGTTAAATGAAGATATAGAAATTCTAACCACCCCAATTACAATGAGTGAAATTGAAACCATAATTAAAAATTTACCAACAAAAAAAGCCCAGGTCTTGATGGCTTCACTCCTGAATTCTACAAGACATTTAAAGAAGAACTATCACCATTACTCTTTAAACTCATCAATGAATTTGAAAGGGAAGCAACACTTCCAAATTCATTCCTGGAAGCAAGTGTTACTTTGATTACAAAACCAGGGAACGATACAACCAAAAAAGAGAACTACAGGCCAATCTCCCTAATGAACATAGATGCAAAAATCCTCAACAAGATACTGGCAAACAGAATTCAGAGAGTCATCAAGAAGATCATACACCCTGACCAAGTCAGATTTATCCCAGGGATGCAAGGATGGGTCAATATATGTAAATCAATAAATGTAATACACTATATTAACGGAGTCAAGGACAAAAACCATATGATCATCTCAATAGATGCAGAAAAAGCATTCGACAAAAATCCAACACCCATTCATGACAAAAACCCTACAGAAAATTGGAATAGAAGACCTTTATCTCAACCTGATTAAGGCTATCTATGAAAAATCAACAGCCAACATCATACTAAATGGTCAAAAACTGAAAACTTTCACGCTAAAATCAGGAACAACACAAGGATGCCCACTATCACCACTCCTGTTCAAAATAGCTCTGGAAACATTAGCCACAGAAATTAGAAAAAAGAAAGAAAGAAAAGAAATAAAGATAGGAAAGGAGAAGTTAAACTGTCAGTATTTGCTGACGATATGATACTTTACATAGAAGACCCAAAAAGCTCCTCCAAAAGACTTCTAGACTTAATTGACAGATTCACTAGAGTAGCTGGATACAAGATCAACACTCAAAAAACAGCCTTCTTGTACAAAAATAACACTCACTGAGAGAGAAATTAAGGAAACAATTCCTTTTACAATAGCATCCAAAGAAATGAAATATCTAGGAATCAATCTAACAAAGGAAGCAAAAGACCTCTAAACTGAAAACTACAGCACTCTGAAAAAAAGAGATCGAAGAGGATATAAGAAAATGGAAAGACATCCCTTGTTCGTGGGTAGGAAGAACCAATATACTTCCAAGACTGCTATATAGATCTAATGGAATGTCAATTGAAATTCCAACAATATATTTCACAGGACTAGAGAAAACAAACCAAAAATTCATTTGGAACCAGAAGAGACCTAGAATAGCAAAAGCAATTCTAGGCGACAGAGACATGGCTGGGGGTATCACAATACCCAACTTAAAACTATACTACAAAGCTACTGTGATCAAAACAGCATGGTACTGGCAAAGAAACAGACCCGAGGATCAGTGGAACAAATTAGAAGATGCAGAAACAACTCCAGACATACTCAGCCACCTCATCTTTCACAGAGGAGCCAGCAACCCTCATTGGAGGAAAGATAGCCTGTTTAATAAATGGTGTTGGGAAAACTGGATTTCAACCAGCCAAAGATTAAAACTAGACCCCTGTCTTTCACCATGCACTAAACTAAGATCGAAGTGGATTAAAGATCTAAATATTAAAACAGAAACACTAAACTTGATGGAAAATAAGTTAGGTAGAACTCTTGAAGACATTGGCATAGGAAAAGACTTTATGAACAAAACCTCAGTAGCACAGGAACTAGCACAAGAATCAACAACTGGGATCTCATCTGATTAAAAAGCTTCTGCACTGCAAGAGAAACCACCAGAAGAGCTAAGAGACAACCTACAATGTGGAAAAAAAATTTTAGCAGCTGTACCTCAGACAAAGAACTACTATCTAGAATATATAAAGAACTGAAAAAAATCAGATCCCCCCAAATTTAAAGACCCAATTCGAAAATGGGCATCTGAAATGAACAGACATTTCTCAGACAAAGAAGTAAAAGCAGCAAATAAACACATGAAAAAAATGTTCAACATCACTGGTCATTCGAGAGATGCAGATGAAAACAACTCTGAGATTCCACCTCACCCCAGAAAGAATGGCTGCTATTAAGAAATCAACCAATAACAAATGTTAGCCGGGGTGTGGGGAGAAAGGAACCCTTCTCCATTGTTGGTGGGAATGCAGACTGGTGCAACCACTGTGGAAATCAGTATGGCGATACTTCAAAGAACTAGGGCTAGAGGTCTCATTTGACCCAGCTATTCCCCTGCTGGGGATCTTCCCCAAAGAATTAAAAGAATCATACCACAGTGATATATGTGCACCCATGTTTATAGGGGCACAGTTTGTAATACCTAAAGCTTAGAAACACCCCAAGTGCCCATCAACTGGAAACAGGATAAAGAAAATGTGAGTTTTTTAATAAAATGGAGTACTACTCAGCCATAAAGAATGAGAAACTAGAGATATTTATAGCTAAATGGATGCATATTGAGGCCATACTCTAAAGTGAAATAAATAGAACACACATTTGTAAATACCGAATTTTCTCTAGTGTGAGAAACTGAAAGTGTAAATAAGGATTAAAATAATTAAAACGAATAATTGATAATTTGAAATAGGAGGAAAAGGTCCAAAGGGGTAGGGGAAGTAGGAGGGGAAGGGGAAAGGAATGAAGGGAAAGGAAAAATTATGAGAATTGGAAAAAATGGAAACAAAGTCTTTGTAAATAGGGAAGGGTGGAGGGGATGGAAGGGAGTACAGGGAACGGGGAAAAAATAAGAACCAAGATACATCATGTACAGGTACAAGCACCCAATGATAAATGTAAACGTACTGTATACCTAAAATGTACCAATAAAAGAATTTAAGCAAAAAAAAAAAAAAAAAAGAGAGAGAAAACAACAACAAAAAAATTGCCCTGTGGTAGATCTTAACAGGGTGGCCACTTTGTGCATCTCAACAACACTCAGTATCAGCCACTCCCTGACAGGTCTTGTGACCCTACTCTGGCCTAGCAATGAAGTCTGGGTTGTTTGAAGGTGATTTGCCTTTGGGAACTTTGATTTATGTAAAAGTTTACTCATGCACCCATGTGAATGCTGAACATTGTTTTAAAATGTATGTAAAATTCTCCCAAGGTAAGAATGTGGTCCCATCTCACCTTGGGACTTCACAGAGATTGAAGTCCAAAGCCAGGGGGCTGGTTCTCACAAATGGGGGATGGGGTCTTGTCTGCAGGCTCTCCCAATCCTTTGGTGCTATCTGCTGTGTTTAGCAGCCAGCTTCCGCAGGAGAGTGAACTTCTCTTCCGGCCATGCTTCCTCTTTGTTAGCTGGAACTCCTCCCAATAAGGAAACTGGCTATCTGGTTTCAGATGTTCTGAGTTTTTAAAAGAATTTCTTGGCTCCTTAAAATGGCCACCCTTTCTCTGTCCCTATTTTCTTTCTTTTTGTTAAATGTGTTAAATAAATTTTATTTTATTTTATACCATTTCCCCCTCAAGCCCTGTGCAGTGTTGGTGGGTGCAGCCCACCTCTCCTATAAGAGGGAGCATAAGGCCAGGAGGCCAATGGTCTTCTTCATGATCTGGTCTATACTCTTAATTCACACCTACACCACAGTTTTAGTAACTTCTGTTAGCTGGAAACATATAGTTCTTGTGACACCTAACTTTGTAGATTTTCTTCATTCATTGTAATTATGTAACAAATAATAACAGAGTTGGAAATAATCTTCAATATTTACCATTTTATCATTCTAACATTCCCAATCCTTGGATGAGGACTGTGTTATGTTTGCAAACAGAAAACTCTGTCACTTTCCCTTTGCATATAAAAGATTTGAAAGCTATGTGTTGGATGCCACTGAAACAGCTGGCGATGAAGACAGAGAATAAAGACAGGAGTAGGTCACCAGGGTCACCAGGCTCCTTCCTGGGCACCCCTCCCCCTCCAATTCAAAGTAGGTCAGGCCCAGGGGCTTTAAGGAGGGGACAGAATAGGAGAGTTCCAAGCGGAAGGAAGAAACTGGAATATCTAGATAAGGGATAGCAAACTTTCTAGAGCTTTCAATGGTACAGTCCACTGCAGCACAGGTGCCATAGATTTGCCAACACTGATCTAGATGATCTTCCCAATCGCTCTCAACAGCTCCAGCAGTATAAGAGATAACAAAAGCCAGGAGATAACAAAAGCCAGGAGGTGAATTCCAGACAGAAACGGGGGAAGATAACATTTTTATACCTGAAATCTTTTTGTGTAACAGATTAATCTGTTTAAGATTATTTAAGGATACTGGGCTAAAGAATGGCTTCTACTGAGGTAAGAAAATTTTTCTCTTGCTTTTTGTTTGTTTGATTTTAAAGGCCATGGGGAATCTAAACCCAAAGATTTATGGGGAGAAAGGGATTTCAAAAGAGACATGCACTGTGATGACGTCTGAAAAACTTAAGTTTCTAAACTGTCCCCAAAGATGCCTTACAAGACTTTAAGTTAAAAGAGGTTTAAAAAAATGACTCCAGGGGTCGGGGATTTAGCTCAGTGGTTCCGCTGCCTGCCTGGCAAGCTCAAGGACCGGTGTTCAATCCCTGGTACCAAAAAAGGGGGTGGGGGGGAAGACTCCAATTAGAATCTCTTACTAGTAAAAAATAAAATATGGTAGGATTTTTATTACTTCTTTTAGCACAACTTGGTTAGTACCAGCAAATGTACAGTATAAGGAGAGCTTTACTGTACTCAGTAAAGTTTACTCCTGTCTTTTCTAATTCTTGCTTGTGGGATCCGTTACTAACTCCCTGAAACAAGTAACCAATCACTCTGTTTCAAAGTGGCAGAAACAGGAGAACTAGGTTATCAAACACAGTCGATGATTTCAGGGCTCCAAATAACCTGTTGTTTTTACTGTCCCCACCTGCCCACCAAGGATGGCAGACACCCACCGCCACTGGATGTGCCACTTGTCCCTCCTGCCCCTCTCCCTCCACGTCACCGCACACAGACTCAGAGACCTAAGTGTCCACAGTTCCCGAGCCGGAAAATACAAAGAGTAATCCCAGTGGGAACCAATCAACCAACCCTTAAGCAATTCAGGTATTTACTGAAGATTATCTAAAGGGCTTTTCCTTCTCAGCGTTCCCCTTAGGGCCCTGGGCTATGATCCCCTCCCAGGAAGCCTCATCTCCTCCACAGGGCTGCTTTCTCCACGAGGAAGCCAAGTCTCTGGGAATGGGCACCCTAACTTTCCTTCCTAGGCCACTCCTTCCCACAGGCTTGTGGCAGCAGACATGGGCAATTTCTTTCAACCTTCTCTAGGGTTGCCTTCCCTTAGCCCGCAGGCAAGGAGAGAGGAGGAAGAGGAACCGAGTTAAAGACAGCCCAGATCCACACACACATAGACCTAAGCAAGTAAACAAATAAGGCCCAGTTCTCCAGTTCTACCAGCCTTCGGACCAGGGCTAGAAGATCCCTCACCTCTGAATTTTTCAAGCTTGCTCCCAAGGTCAGCTGAACTGGAGCGGGGCGGGGGGGTGCGGGGTGGATGGATGAGGGGTGTCCTGAAGAGACTGAGGCCCAGGCCTAGAAACCCCTCACATCCACCCGGGAGCTCGAGACCCAAGAGAGGAAGGAGGTGCTCCCCCCGCCCCACAGGGACAAACAGCAAGAGGCGGGCTCGAAAGGAAATGCTTCTTTTCCGCAGGTCAGGAATTTCGCCACACTGTCATTCAGCCCTGAGGCAGCCCTTCCCACCCAGTCTGTCAGAGTTGGCCTCTCCCGGAATCTCCAGCGCTGAGCGGCTCTCAGAACCCTTCTAGCTCGGGCGCGTGGGGGCGGGTTGTCTCCGAGGGTACACCTTAAAATTTTGCCTCCCTCCCCGGAACCAGGGCCAAAGTGTCCGCGACGCCTGAAGCCCAAGGGCCAGGCTGCCGCCCTCAGGACAGCGCCCTCCGGATTTCGTCCAGGAAGAAAAACAAAACAAATCCTGCCTGCCAGCACAAGGGGCGGCGGCCAGCCCAGCCCCGGGGCGTTTTTGCGTGTCCGGGGTTCACGGTGGGATGGATGGCGCGCGCTCCAGCTCGAAACCAGGTGGCCCGCGAGGGCTGAGGACTCTGGGCGCACCGCACCACGGCCAGCCGCTCCTCGCGAAGGGGCCTGCATCCAGAAGGAAAACCTCTCGTCTTCCCCACCCGCGCCAGCAGCAGGCCAGGCAGAGCTGAGAGCCCTAACAATAGCGCAGACGCCAGCCTGGTTGTCTGAGCTGGACCTGGCCGTGGCCGGCTCAGGGTGAGCGAGGCCAGCCTTCTTCGCCCGCTCCAGGACAAACCCCTTCCAGGGACTGGCTCCTAAAGCGCTTTGAGTTTAAGGGAGGGGGTCTGAGCTCAACTGGAGGTGCAAAAAGCGGCCCTCAGGGAAAAAGAAAGAAAAATCAGCAAAATCGCCTTAGCAGTTCAACCATAGGTCAACAGCATTTCCCCAGCAGCTGACAGGTCAAATGGTCAGGAAACAACTGCCGAGAACAAAGCCCCCCGCTGTTCAGCAGGGGCAAGCCCGGCTAGCCGCACTGAGCAGTTTTGTTGTGCTTTTTGGAAGGGGCGGGAGGTTTCCGCCCCCCCCCCCTCCCGTCCCTTCCCCTGGGGCGCAGAGGTCGGAGGAGGAAAGGAGGGGGCGAGGGTGCCTTGGGGAGAGCTGCATCTCTTTGATGACGCGAGTCTGAAACGCCTCTGGGTTCGGAAGCGAAGACTGGACCCCGGCGAAAGAATGCGCGGAATGCGCCCCGCGGGAGGAGGGGGCGCGGCGCGGCAGGGGGCGCCCCTACCCTACGAGCTCAGCCTGTCCCGCCCCGAACGCTACGAGCCCAGCCCAGCCCGCCCGGCAGGTGCTGCCCGCGAGATCTCTCCAGAGACTCGGGTTAGGAGAGTACGAGGTCCTTTCGGAGTTTCGGATCGCCAGATTTGACAACTCACCCACCCACCTCCGCTGCCCGCCCGCCACCGAGACTTTTGCCAGGGTTCACTTAAATTGAGCACGCGCCGCCATCAGATAGTCAAGAATAGTGTCTAAACAAAAGATCGTAATTCTCTGCTGCGGGGATTGGCAGGGGGCACGGTTCCACCTCCCCCCTCCCAACCCAGTCCTTCAACCTCTGGCTCCGGGAGCCGGGGTCTAGTCCGGGGAGTGAGGAGTTGGCCACCTTCCAGGAGACTTCGGACTTGGGCAGCGGGCGGCGACACGCGCATCGCTCCGACACGGTCTGCCACCCCATTTTCGTTTCTACGTTTACCAAGGGCTGGCTGCCAGTGGAACTTGCCGGGCCAATCGCACCTTAGCGCTCACTCCTTTACCCCATTCCCCATCTCATATTCTCGGGGTGAGACTCAGTACCCGGCCCAAGCACGCCGAGCCAGCTGGCCTATCTTGTCCCCATCCTCACCGCACCAGGAGCACTTTCCGGGACTCAACGATGGGCTGCAGAGAGGAGTCGTTTCACTCTCCACGCCAGAACTCAGGGAGTGTAAATAAACGCGGTATCGTGCCAGGACGCACGAGGAATTGCAGGTGACCAGGGAAACGCGCAGCACATCCCCGAGGACTAGGAGCTTGCATTAGCAACGCTCTCGCGCAAAGCGACGCGCGCAGGGATCCTTGCTGCCTGGAGTTACCCGGGTACTCCTTCCCATGCTAAATAAGGCGCAGGCCGCCAGGCCCCCTACAACTCCCCTCCCCGGTGTTCACGTTAATTTACCTTTGAGGAGGCAGATGTCTGTGCGCTCGGCGTTGCGGCGCAGTGCCTGCACCACCAGCGACACGGTGCTGTCTTCGCGGAGGCTCTCGGCGCGCGGGCTGCGCTCGTCGTAGACGATGACTGCCGAGTAAAGGCCGGAGCGCAGACGGGCGCGCACCTCCTCCTCGGCCGGCAGGATCTGCTCCAGGCTCACAGAACCCTTGGCCCGCCGCCGCACGATGGTGTTGCAGCGCACGTTGACCGAACCTCGGATGTAGCCCGCGCTGTGCGCCAGGAACGGTCTGCAGTCGAGCAGTAGGCACTTGCCGCCGCTCAGCAGCCCCAGCGCGCCGTGGCTGCCGCTGCCGCTGCCACTCGCGCCGCCGCCGTTCTCGTCCCGGTTCATCAGCCTTTTGAGCATGCTGCAGTCCATCTCCCGAAGCTCCTCCATCGTCACCATGGTCGCCGGGAACCGCAGCTGCTGGGGACAAGAGGAGGCGAAGGACACTCGGGCCAACGAGGCTACAGGAAGGCGCGTGCGAGCGAGGGCTGAGCGGAGACGACTGCACTAGTGACCGCCAACTCGGCCCCTAGAGGCTCCCCGGGCCAACCTCTTCTCCCCAGTCCCCTTCTGCCCGCAGCCTCGCGGTTACATAGCAGTTCGGGCGGCCTCGGGAGCCAAGACGGGCGGGCGCCCTGCGCGGACGGGAGGAGGCGGGGAGGGGAGTGTGTTTACGGTAGAGGACCACCCGGCGCCCTTCTGTTGTTGCCTTGAGTGTGTTTCGCCGGCTGCGCTGCTCCTGCTGCCGCCCGCGCGCGTTACCGTTCCCTATACTCCGCCAGAGCTCAGCGCACTGCCCCAGGCAGACTTCCCTCTTCGGCTTAAGGATTTATTAATGCTCCTCTGCACTCCCGGGGGAGGTAAATCATTACTACCTCCCGAGACTCCGCCCCTTTCCATTCTCGGCCGGGTGCCGCCCCGCTCGCTCGCGGCCCGTCCCCCCGCCCCCTCCTCCCGTCCCCTCCTCCGCGGCGGGTGAATGGAACGCCAGCCGCTCGCGCCGGGTCACGCGGACGCGACGTCACAAAGACGGGAGTAAACAGGGAGCTCGCGGCTCGCGGCCGGGCCCATTCATAAAACAGACCTAGAGGAAGAGCAAGGAGGCCTCCGACCCTCCCGCGAGCGTTGGCGCCGGGACCTTGTGAATGGAGCGGGCCCCAGACCACTCCCGCGCGCTCCCTGCGCACCGCTGCGCGGCTTTTGACGTCAAGAACGGCCTGCAGAGAAGCCGGCTTGCGGAGGCCAGGGTTCGGGTGTGAGGTTTCATTCCTTTTCGTCCCCCACCCCGGGCAGTCTCAGGGGTCTCTGGCCAGCACCGTGGCATCGCTGCCCGCCTGGCAGGGCCTGGCGCTTCCTAGCCCCCGACTTACGGTGCGCTTCCGGCCCGGCCAGTCGTTTTTTTAAAGTGCGATTTGTCAGACGTTACTCTATGCATTAGTGTGATCGATTTCCACCTTTAAGCCATTAAATCAGCTTTATAGCTTCCCGAGGAACGTGGGCACACCCCAACTTAGAAGATGAAAGATAGCCCTCCCGCCCGAAGGCCCGAATTGGAGTGAAGTGTGGGGTTTGTAGCTTTACAACCTGGAGGGTGGCATCAATTGCCGTAGTGTCGCTCCTACGGAGGCGAACTGGGCGGCACTCCGGTTCACGTTTCCTAAAAGATGTTTGTTTAACCCTGGTGGGGGTGGGGATGGGGAGCGATGTTTTTCCGCTCTTGGGGACGTCTTCACCTCCTCTTGCACACATGTGAATTGCCTTCTCAGGAAATAACAGGGTCCACATTTGGTGTGCAGCCAGACCCTGAATACTACGCGCAAAGAGCGAAAGGATTTAGTAAGCTCTGGAGCCCGTTCAGGTTTCTTTGCATCTCTTTCCAGGTCGCCTAGCATTCTCCTCCCCCGCCCCGTTATGGTTATGCATTTAATTTCCCAGAGGCCGCTCTTGGCAGGGGGTTCGTGTGCGCACGCGATGTGGCCTTTACTGAAGCCAAAAATCATTCGCCCGACATCTTGCCAAGTCTAGTTAGTGAAAATTAATCGCGGAGCGAGGGAAGCACAGGACTCGCTGGCGGCCTCCGTGGCGGCGGGGTCGGATATTCCGTTTCAGGTCGCGCGTGGAAGGCCGAGAGAGGCCACGAGAGCCGCCAAGCCCGCCGGGTCTCTCCCGCCCCAGCGCGGCCCTGCCCTGGCTCCTTCCTCTCCGCCTTTGTTCCAGGAGGAGAGGCTCTGAGCAGCGCTCACCTCCAGCCGCGGGGCCGCCCGTCCGCTCCCCAGTGGGGGTTTGGCGGGGGCTCCACTTCCGAGGCCTTCTACATAAGCTCCCCTCCCAGGGCCCCGGCACTCAGCCAGGTCCGGTCGTCTGTGCTGGGCGCCGCTTGTCCGTGGGGATTCTTTTTGCCTGCGGTCTCAAAATATATCAGTAAGGCATGCAATGGTCCTGTTTTTATTTATAAAATTTAACATGTTCATTATGGGGTTTTTGTATTAATTTTTTAAAGCATTGCAGTAAGATACTTATTGTGATTGTTGACCTTTCGGCGCGCCCCACCCCCTTAAATTCTTCGCCCAGGCTGCTGCTCATCCAGCTCCAGGTCCTAGAAGGGGCCAAGACTGCGGCTGGCTGCGCTGCAGGTGGCCGGAGCTCGGCCGCGGGCCTTGCGGGGGGGAGGGGGGGACAGCAAAGCAAAGCGCACTGCGCCCGCTCGCTAGGGGAGGACAGAGGGGCCTGGGCCCGGGTTTTTCTGCGGAGGTGGCTGGGAGGCTCCGGCTCTGCCTAAAGCCTCGCTGCACTAGCACGCCGAGAATGCGCCCTGTCCGAGGAGTCCTCCTTGCCTCGACGGTCCCAGGCCGCCGATTCGCTCTCTCTGGGCCCCTGCTCCAGGGCTGTCTCTGCTGAAGAAAAGACCGATTTCTTTACAAAGATGACAGGAGATCTTTTAAAGGAGCCTCTCAGTTGGAGGCAGGTCTGGGCCAATTTCACTGGAGTCGCAGGGGCTGGAGAGGCGTCCCCGGGCAGCGCTGACCACGCCGAGCCTTTGTGTCCCTGGGCTGAGGGGCGCCCTCACCGGCCCTGCCGGGGCCCGCGCTCACCTGCCCGGTAAATATCAGTGGAATCCGAGGGGAGGAAGATGATGCCCACAGAACAAAGAATTACCTTCTGCACCTGAGAGTAATCCGTGGTGGCGAAGCCCATAAATCCCGAAGGCGAGTCACACGGAAGGGGGTGTGGACGGGCGCGCGGGCGCGCGCGTGTGTGTGTGTGTGTGTGTGTGTGTGTGTGTCCGCGTGTGCGTGCCCGCGCCAGCGTGCCTTCTCCCTAGCGAGAGGAGCAACTTCGGGCTTAAGGCTTTTAAACCTAGGACCGCTTTGGTTAGGAACGCGTTGTCCTGGTTTTTGAAAGAGACTTAGTAACAATCCCCTTCCCTCAACTCAGGAATTAGCCTTCAGTCGTGTGAATTTCAGCGAATGAGATTTAAATTGCCACATTGTATTTATCCTGGTTACTGATTAAGCACCCTAGATAATTTTAAATCGAAGTGCATGAGCCACTTGGTCCACAGTTAGATGAATATAATGAGACCTACCCAATTCTGCTATAGAGGTGACATAAAACTGGTCTCCAACTGGTCTGTCGGCTGGGGCTGGGAAACATAATCAGTTTACACTGGAACCGTGTGAATCAGCTCCTCAATAAGCAGATCTTGCAGAAAACAAAGGGATTTCTGCAGGAAGGTGCTGCTTGAATGTCATTTCAAAGTTACTTTAATTGAGGAAAGCGTATCTACAGGAACTAGGATGGTATTGCCCAAGGAGAGCTATTTTACTTATATTCACCTATAAACCTCAGGGTGAAAATACTTTTTAACAATCACTGTGGCGTGTAAACCCAACTTCTTGTTCCCCAGACAGTCCTTAGACTAACCTTATTAGTCACTGTCAGGCACCAGAAAAACCCATGCCCTTGTTTAAGAACATTTCTTTCCCATTAGGAAGTTGTGTGATCTGGGAATTTGAAGCCCTGAGTTGAATCCCAAGGGGAGAACAATGGCTTCTATTCTGGTTTTGATGCCAACGTCTGACTCATTGCCCTGTCCCAATGTACCTGAATAAAACTTGCCTGAAAAAATCATTAATGAATTTGTATCAAAGTGGCAATGGAAAGAAAGGTCCTTTCTCCTTTCCTGAGCAAAAATGGAGCCTTGCTTGTTACTCTGAACTGGTCCAGGAATGATTTCTTCTTTGTCTGGACCTGGTAACAGGAATGTTCAAAAGAAGGGGGAGGCATCTCACGCTCAAAGCAGAGACTCCTGTGTCTCGGAGTGTATTCTTAGGCAGTATTTATAAATACAATTGAAAAATGTCTGTCCTCTGCTCATTGAGACAGGACTCCAAAGCAGGAAAGTCTTCAGTGTTTAGACTGCACATCCATAGAAAACCTCCAAAGCACAGCCTAAGGGTTTGTTTTTTGTTAAGTGCTGACTGTCACAAATTAGTTTAGCAGCCTCCATTTATCTTCTATGGGTGATACTGTATCACTTGTTAGTGCAGTGCTCTAACCTTGGTACTCTTCAGAAAAGCTTTGACACATTGTTTCCATCTACTACTCCATTCAGTCTGGTTTAGTGGCTTTGGTCAAGATACCCCCTTGACTGTAAATTTCTCCATCTATAAAAGGCCGGAGTTTGGGCAGGACAATTTCAGATCAGATGCATTTCCAACAAGGTATGATTCTGAGCAGCCGTGCTTTTACCAACCCCAAAGCCCAGCCTTTTTATCTCATCCTCCCCAAAGCCAACCACACTGAAATGCCATGCACAAAGGGCAATCTCCAGCTCCTCTCTGGCCTTTAGTATAATTTCATGGAAGGCAAAGTTCATGATTTTTATTTATTTGTTTACTCAAGAGCTAATGTCTCTAGCACTGTGATGAAATTTCTTCAGGGTTTCAAAGAAATTTTTTTTCAAAGAAATTTTTGGAATGAAATGCTTTTGTAAACAGGAGATAAAATATGGGCATTTTGGGGGGGGCATCACTCTAATTGTGCATAGTTTCTTATTCATTTAGTCATTCATTCAACAAATATGCAAAATTTAATGGAAGATGAAATTTGTCCCTAACACTGACTATACCCTCATAGAGTTTACAGTTTAGTGGATTTAACCAGGCTGTGAGTGCCAGTGTATGTTGTTACAGAGTGAAATCAAATAAGTATCATTAAAAGAACAAACAAGATGCCATGGAGATGCAGAAGGAGAAGGGATGGAACTGTGTTGTGGAAATAAGAAAATGGGAGAAAAATTCATCAATAAAGTGCATTTTATCCACTGAAATGTTATCCTTGAAATGTCCTGGACTTCTCTTACAGGCCCCCTTTTTTTTTGCTTAGACATTGTCTCACCTCTGACAGTCAGTCATTCTGCCCTTGAGTCTTATATTCTTTTCCTTTCATTTGTTAGCATCTCGCTTCCCCAGTGGGTTTGCCTGCTAAAAATAGATGAGCAATTGTCTGAAACTACAAGAGAGCCAGGAAGATGCAAAGGCTCTGTGGAAAATCTATGCCATGGACAGCGAGACAACCTAGATCCAAGATGACCGCGGTATGGGCCTGGCTCTAACTTTCCTCCTCATTTGAAGCCAGTCGCTTGTGCCATACCCTGATTTTACCATCTGTAAAACTAGGGAAAATAATGTATTGTTACTTATTTTTGTCAAGACAACAAAATATCTAAATCACTTCTACAAAGATCCTACCATGCGCTATTGTCCAAACCAAATACTGGAGTAGGTGATCAGGAAATATTTCCTTTAGCCTTGTGAAACTATTTAAATAAACATTCTTACAAAAGAAAACATAAAACCACATT